AAACTTTTGAACTGTAGTGCATATTGTTAGAAAAGATTTCTATTTTAAATAAATGCTCTTCTTTTGAACTTTTTATTAATCAAAGAATCCTGAAAAAAGTATCACAGTTTCCAAAAAAATATCAAGCAGCACAACAGTTTCAACACTGATAATAAATCAGCATATTAGAATGATTTCTGAAGGATCATGTGACACTTTATACTGGAGTAATGGCTGATGGAAATTCAGCTTTGCATCACAGAAATAAATTTGATTTTAAAGTATATTAAAATAGAAAACATTATTTTATATTGTAATAACATTTTGCAATATTTTTTTCTGTATTTTTGATCAAATAAATGCAGCCTTGATGAGCATAAGAGACTTCTTTAAAAAACATTACAAGTCTTACTGATCCCAAACTTTTGAGCGGTAGTGTACATATATAGTACATGATAACATCAAAATTAGGCAGTATTTAAATTTGCAGTGTGCAATTTTTTTCTATCCACTGTTACATTTCTTGAAAACCTTCCATACGCATAAGACATAAATCTTACCATAAGTGCTGCTCTGTTTTACAGTGGAGGTGACTCTTGACCCAGAGACGGCCAACCCTGCTCTGGTTCTGTCTGAGGACTGCAAGCGCATGCAGTGTGGTCTGGAGCGGCGTGAGGTTCCTCACAGCCTGCGGCGCTTCGACAGCTGGTGGTGCTGTCTCGGCTCTGAAGGCTTCTTGTCGGGACGCCGGTACTGGGAGGTAGAAGTGGGCGACCGTGATTGGCGTCTCGGGGTGGCCAAAGAATCAGCTCTCTGCAAAGGCTACAGACCGCTGAACACCCAGAGTGGATACTTGACCCTCAGGCTGGAGAGGGGCTCCGAGCTCAAGGCGCTGACCACACCACCCACACCCCTGCCCCTGTCGCTCATCCCACGGAGGGTGGGGGTCTATCTGGACTATGAGGAGGGGCAGCTGTCCTTCTATGACACCCAGAAGCGTGCGCACATCTACACATACAGCAAGAGGTTCACAGAGAAGCTTTACCCGGTGTTTGGGACGGTGGAGATGGTCCGCGAGATGGTGATCAGGCCTGCAGACCTAAGGGAGCGATGTCTCTGTAAGGGACAATGTCTGTTCTGCTAATAATGAACGCACAATCCTTATGCACACGAATGTGAAAAAATTACACACACCATAAAATAACAGTAATTGATCAATGCTTACAAAAAATAGAAGCATAGAGAGAATTTGACATTTTTTAGAGTAGCTAAAGCTGTGAAATCTGCACCACTAGCATCATCAAGGAAATGTTAAAATACTGTTGTTAAACAATCTGACTGAACAAACAGAGAGTCCTGCCCAAGACTCGTCACAGAGAGAGCTGCAGTGATGACTTATTTCTGTAGGCCAATCTGGAAAGTTTGGAAACCAATAGGATTTTTCCACTGGCTTTTGTACTGATGGTTACTCAAAGTTTTTGGATTTTTACAGAAAATAAGATCTGTGACCAAAAAGTTCATATTCACAAATGAACACAAATTTTGAAGCCACACATCTACACATACAGCGAAAGGTTCACAGAGAAGCTTTACCCGGTGTTTGGGACGGTGGAGATGGTCCGCGAAATGGTGATCAGGCCTGCAGACCTAAGGGAGCGATGTCTCTGTAAGGGACAATGTCTGTTCTGCTAATAATGAACGCACAATCCTTATGCACACGAATGTGAAAAAATTACACACACCATAAAATAACAGTAATTGATCAATGCTTACAAAAAATAGAAGCATAGAGAGAATTTGACATTTTTTAGAGTAGCTAAAGCTGTGAAATCTGCACCACTAGCATCATCAAGGAAATGTTAAAATACTGTTGTTAAACAATCTGACTGAACAAACAGAGAGTCCTGCCCAAGACTCGTCACAGAGAGAGCTGCAGTGATGACTTATTTCTGTAGGCCAATCTGGAAAGTTTGGAAACCAATAGGATTTTTCCACTGGCTTTTGTACTGATGGTTACTCAAAGTTTTTGGATTTTTACAGAAAATAAGATCTGTGACCAAAAAGTTCATATTCACAAATGAACACAAATTTTGAAGCCTAAATACAATCGCCAGATGTAAAAAGCTAAATGTAGCCTATAAACTAACTACACCATGGTTGCATGACTTCAACGTCACCAATGTCCTCCTTTCAGTATTTATTAAAAATAATTTTTCTGTGAAAGTTTGAGAATAGTTTGTTAGACCATGATTATAAAACCCAGCGAGGCTGCGAAAGCATTTGAGAAGATGAGTTTACCTATTCGGCGTGATATTTAACTTCTATAGACCCATTTAGCCACTTGTTAGCAACCGCCTTTTTCAAGAGAAGTCAAAAATTTAAAAAATCATGTGAAGTATTACTGATGTATTTTATGTTGTGGAATTAAACATGAAAATATCTTGAGCTTGTGTTAACCACAGACCTTATTTCAAGTATTTAACCAAAAACCTTTTCAGAAAACCCATTGACCTCAGGGCTGAAAGTATTATAATGCTAAAAACTTATTTCCGGGGTTTTGGCCTACAAAAATACATGATCCCTGCAGCGCACTACTGGTTGAACTAACTTCGTGCAGCACTGCATAGACTTTTGATTCGACGCATATTGCCGCTAATGCACACTAAACTGTTTTTATAACCGTTCAAAAACATCTTAAGTATTATATTTTGATGTGTTTATCAGTAAAACTGATAAAAAATATAGACCCAGTTTTATTGGTATTTTTCCTAAATATTATAGATAGAACGTTTTATACAGGCACTGTATTACTAAAATACTAAAGTAATTAAAACTAAATAAACTCAAATTAAAAAAAAAATACTAAAACTTCAAAATCAAATGAAAACAGAAATATACAAATAAAATCTTAATTCAGAATATATATATATATATAAAAAAAACTATAATAGTGTATCAGTGGTACTAAGATATTACTGAGTTGAAGTTGAACACCCCTATTGTTGCTGTGTGAGACTGGTCAGCATGCAATGTTTTCACTTTTTCAGGAAATCAACCTACAAATGAAATATTTGTCTATGCATATTAATCTGGGATATAATTGATTTTTAAGAAATTTCATTCTTGTGCAACTACTAAAACACGATCTTTAAAAAATATACGAAGGGCTTGTTTGCTAAAACGTACTGATGCATGAGTGCTGGGAATGTGTTCATGATTTCACTAAATCGTTGATATTTTAAGTGCTTCTGTCACATTTACTTCTGCAATTAGTTTAGCTCGAACTGCTTATTGTACAGATTCCATTGACTTTTTGCAGACAATTTTTTTTAAGAAATTCAACGTAAAATCTACTAACTCAAATTTCATAGAATGTTCAATCACATTAATCAGTGATTGTCATTGTAATATTTCTATACTGAATTGTGATTGTTTTTTACTTACATCTTATTTACCCATATAATGTTAATTTACATTGTTTTTAAGTGCATGGGCTAAAATAAGATTATAATTAGGTCCAAGGTCTAAAACCAAAATATTATTTTGCTAGTTTGAATACACTATTTTCCCCTTAAATCTAGTTTTAGCAAGTGTTGAATAGAATCTCATTCAACTCCCATGATTTTTTGTTTGTCAGTAACATAAGAAAGCATATAGAGGGCAGTGTCAGTACCTACTCCTCCAATCAATGTAAAGCATTTTAATAGGTCATTTCACAGTGTGCTAAAAACATTGTTGCACCTAAATCTTTTTCTAATAAACAAAGCTGACACAAGGAGTCGACTGTGGTAGGATGATTTATTGGTGCGGTGAACTAATATGCAGTGAGACGTTTTGCATACTACGGCTTGAATATGATGGTGAAATGCAATTTTAATATAAAACTCATGTCAAAAGTATCATACAAATTATTAAATGCAGTAAAAATGCAATTCAGGGGTACATAGGTGTGAGATTGGTAATCTTTTCCAAATTCCCAGCAGTGTACAAACCTGGCAGATTTGATGTCATCTGAAATACAGACACAGGCCTGAAGTTACAACAGCACATCTTGCAACCAGGCAGTAAAAAAAACAAACCTCAGTAACATTTACAGTCCCAAGAATCTAGTCCATATGTGTATGCGCTTATGTGTTGCAACATTTTGTAAAAAAAACTGATTTAGGAGGAAAATGACGAGTTAATTCAAGAGACATGGCAAATACATATAGAAAACCTACATGCTGAAATAACTTGATACATCTGGAAAGCAACATCAATGATATAAACAACATGATATGAAACTGACATGAAATTCAAACCTCGTCAAAATGAACGCAATCTAGCTCAAACGAGCAACAGAACTGTATCCCACGCCACATGCGTCAATAACATTTCTCGCAAACACTACATGAAACATGGATTGATGCCAAAATTTTCAACAAATACCTGTTTGGAAGTGATAAGATAACACTAAAAAGTCTTTACATTCAACAAAACATCAAGGCTTGAAGACTTTGGTCTTTAGGAGCAATAATCCGAGGAATCCAAGCACTCAGCTGTTCTCATGCTCACATAAACACCACATGTTGTGCACATTGGTCTGTGAACTTTTCTAGTTTGACTTTAGCGTGTTTTGGCCATGTGATTTCAGCTGAAGGCAAAAGGAAGTTAAATTAGGCCTCGTAGTACTGTCTATCCACCTTCTTAGTGATGGTGCTGCTGGACATCACTCCTCTCTGCACCATCTCCACCTGTCGCGTGATGGTGCCGCCCGACTCTGTGATCTGCCTGCTCGACATCATCATCATCCCGTCTAGAAAAAACACACATCAGACACCGATACAATGAGCGAAACATTACAATAAAGTTTAGAATTTAATTAATTGAAATAAATTGGAATGACATTAAAATGATCAACTGCTTTAAGTTTATAATACATTTGTATAACATTATCATACACACAACATACTGTATGGTATTTCCAGAAATGTTAGATGATTGATATACCACCAATATAAATGTGTATTTAACTTAATAAATTATATTAAATTCTATATGTGACCCTGGACCACAAAACCAGTTTTAGTTCACCCAAAAATGAAAATTAGGCTGTGTTTTACTCACCCCAGAGCCATCCTAGGTGTATATGACTTTCTTTTTTCTAGACGAATCCAGTCTGAGTTATATTAAAAATGGTCTTTGATCTTTCAAGCTGTTTAATGCCACTCAGTGGGTGTTGCATGCATCAGTCCAAAAGTAGTTAAATAAAAATCGCCCATCCATTAAAAAAAAATGCCTCACACGGCTCCGGGGGGTGAACAAAGGCCTTCTGTAGCGAATCGATGCATTTTTGTAAGAAAAATAACCATATTTAAAATTTAATAATCGCTTTAATGTAGCTTGCGCTCACTGTTGTACACTGGAAGCAGTTCCGGGCGGATGATGCATGAGTTCAGTGTTGCGCATTGGCATTAAACAGTTTGAAAGATCAAAGATTATTTTTAATATAACTCCGACTGGATTCATCTGAAAGAAGAAAGTCATATACACCTAGGATGGCTCTGGGGTGAATAACACACAGCCTAATTTTCATTTTTGGGTGAACTAACCATTCAAGTTGCTAGGATATATTTGTAGCAATAGCCAAAAATACATTGTATGGGTCAAAATGATCGATTTTTCTTTTATGCCAAAAATCATTAGGATATTAAGTAAAGATCATGTTCCATGAAGATATTTAGCAAATTTCCTACTGTAAATATATTAACTTAATTTTTGATTAGTAATATGCATTGCTAAGAACTTCATTTGGACAATTTTTAAAAGGCGATTTTCTCAATATTTTGATTTTTTTGCACCCTCAGATTCCAGATTTTCAAATAGTTGTATCTCGGCAAAATATTGACATATCCTAACAAACCATACATCAATGGAAAGCTTATTTATTCAGATTTCAGGTGATGTGTAAATTTTTCTATATTGAGATTTATACAAGACTGGTTTTGTGATCCAGGGTCACATATAATACTACTTTTTGTTATATTTTATAATAATATTAGGGTAACAATTTAGTATAGGGACCGATTCTTACCAATAACTAGTTGCTTATTAGCATACCTAATATTATCATACTGGCTGTTTATTAGTATTATAAAGCACATATTCTGCATCCCTAATCCTACCCAATACCTAAACTTAACAACTACTGTACTAACTATTTATAAGCAGCAAATTAGGAGTTTATTGAGGCAAAAGTCATAGTTAATGGTTTGTTAATAGCAAGAATTGGACCTTAAAATAAAGTGTGACCAATATTATTCATATTAGGTCTATTTCACTAAATGATTAAACATAAATAATAATCAATATGTTTAAATTTTTTATTTTTGCTTTCTGAAAACAATGTGGTGAACATTGTGGTATTGTGAAATTAAAACCCGTGTTAATTAAAATAAAAGACTTAATTCAACTTAATTTTATAGATTTTTTATTTGATAAAAATATGTATTTTACATATCCCAAAATAAGCATAATTACCTAAAGGGAATTAATTATGTTTTATAGGTTTATATTAAATATGATAAAATATCTAGTTATTTTTTTGTTATATTTAATAAAAACAGTAGTCAATCTTAATTTCCCACTGTGGTCTAATTTACTCCAAAGAGTCAAACATAAATATTAATCAATCGGTTCAAATGTTCATTTCAATGTTTTGTTTTTAATTTATTTTTATGTGTGGTGTTTATTTGTTAGTATTCAACTTAACTTATTGAAATTGGTTTTATTTTATAAAAAAAATAATAATTTGAGAAATTCTACATATCACAAAATAAATTAGCATAATTAGTCAAAATGGATTATGTAATTATGATTTGTTGATTAAAACGTCACGTGAGGCCAACTCAGCTGAAATTGTAACTCATAAATCGAAAAGGAACAAACTCTTCAATAGTGAATTTTGCACCCTGGAAGATGTAGTGTGTGTTATTACCTGGAGACACAAAGGGTTCTGAGAACATGGTGTGTGAAGTAATCTCTGTTGGTAGGTTGAACACCTCTCTCTTTGTGAGTGAATGACTGCTGTACTGTGACATGGAGCCTGAGGAGAACCAGAAAAGAAGCTTCAACAAACAAAACTTATTACCAGTGATTTTCCTCAAAGACGACATAAGATATAATGCAATGTATTTCGGAGTTAAACAAAATATTCAGCAGAATGTTGTACAGGGCCAGACTTGATTTTATCCATTGCGATTGAATTGAACCATAGCATTTTATATTACTGAAACATTAAACATATACAGTACATAATGAGATTAATCTCATAAAAAGGCACACACACACACTATCATATCACTCTCTCGGTCACATTGTTGTAACGTCCAGCATACCTCCATCTTGGGATTCGATGGTGATGATGCCTTCTCGCTCCGGTCCAAAGCCCTGCGTGGTCTGGGCTTGAACTTTGAATTTGTATGGCATGTTTTCTTTCAGGTCAGACACAGTCAAAGAAGTTGCAGCATTGCCATTCACCTGGAAGGAGCGAAGATCTCCTGCAAGGACACCAAACAGAGCTTTAACAAAGAAGCTAAAGAACAGGGGTTGTTTTTGATTATTGCAGCAGTGACTGCTGTGGATATTTATGTGGATTCAAAGTTCAAGTCAAATAGAAAATAAAGAGGGTGGTGTCTGACCTCCACTGTGCAGCTGTTCACAGGTAACCACGTAGCCCAGGATGTCCCCGTTGGGTTTGCGAGGTTTCTCCCAGCTCAGCTGCAGCGTGTCTGGACTCAAAGCTGTGAAGATCAAAGGTCCTGGAGCGCTGGGAGTGCTGAGTGTGAATGGAGATCCTGAATAATAGCAAACACATACATATTATTTTATGTGTATGTATCATTTACTAAAACATGTGTGTTAATATTTAATGATGATTTCAGGATAGTTGCCACTGCTAATGCTGGTATTATCGACCCTGGCCCCTATAGGTACCATAAAAATATCAATTTAAGAATGAAGGCGCTCTCACCTGGCATTGGGCTCAGTGGACTCTTGGGGTCGACAGCAGACTCAATGGTGATGACTCCCTCTCTCTCAGGACCCCAGCCCTCTCGACTCTGGGCCTTCACTTTGAAGATGTAGGAATGGTTGGGCAGGAGATCCTGAACCACCACAGAGTTCTGAGATGGATTGTTCACTTCAATACGCTTTACTTCACCTATACAGGAAACGAAAGACAATCAAAAAATTATTAGACATCAAACAGACATCATCTGTTATTATGCACATCATATATACACAGCATATAAAAGTAAAATTAATTATTAAATTATAGTATATTACAATTGTTTATACACACACACACACATACACATACACATACACATACACATACACATACACATACACATACACATACACATACACATACACATACACATACACATACACATACACATACACATACACATACACATACACATACACATACACATACACATACACATACACATACACATACACATACACATACACATACACATACACATACACATACACATACACATACACATACACATACACATACACATACACATACACATACACAGGTGCATCTCAATAAATTAGAATGTTGTGGAAAAGTTAATTTATTTCAGTAATTCAACTCAAATTGTGAAACTCGTGTATTAAATAAATTCAATGCATACAGACGAACAGCCAGCTTCTTTGGCAATGAATGTTTGTGGCTTACCCTCCTTGTGAAGGGTTTCAGTGATTGTCTTCTGGACAACTGTCAGATCAGCAGTCTTCCCCATGCTTGTGTAGCCTAGTGAACCAAACTGAGAGACCATTTTGAAGGCTCAGGAAACCTTTGCAGGTGTTTTGAGTTGATTAGCTGATTGGCATGTCACCATATTCTAATTTGTTGAGATTCACACAAGTTTCACAATTTGAGTTGAATTACTGAAATAAATGAACTTTTCCACGACATTCTAATTTATTGAGATGCACCTGTATATGAAAATAAATGGATGAATATTGATCTAATAACTTAACATACTAAAAGTTAGAATGAAGTGTATGACAATAAAAGACACTTAAAAAAATCTTAAAATTTAAAGCTTCTGTTTTTATTATTTGCTTATACTTAGTATTTTATGCACAGTCTATCTTAAAAAACTAAAATGTTGTATGTACATATATATACACAATTTATATATATAGAAAAAGAAAGATTTAAGACTTTGCAATTTATTTTCATCACACACACACATATATATATATATATATATATATATATATATATAAATTAGTTGAGAAATAATAGATCATAAATTAACTGCTAAATTAAATGTAAAAATTAAAATCATAAAATCATTTGATCATTTATCTACTATTCAAATATATTAGAAATTTATTTTCATACACATTTAATTGTCATATATATATATATAATTTATCTGCATTTTGTCTTTTTTAAATACATATTTTAAAATAAATTTGGTGTTCTATAAGTTGCATTTATTGTAAATGCATCTTTTTAATATTATTATGATTAATAAATAAGTTCAAAGCTGTCTGAAATGTTTGGTGCCTAAATAAATATAATTTAATTTAATTTAATTTAAATATATAGTACACCTACTAAAAGATCTGCGCTTAACTACTTTACATTATGAAAGGAAGTCACGGTTTCAAAGTACCCTCTCCTGACGCACTGCTGGTTGTTTCCAGGTTCACTCACCCTGAAGAACACTATCCAGGTTCTGCAGTGCATCGTTGATATCTTCAGACTGAGTACGAGCTCTGGAGCTCAAGCTGTAGCTGGTAGTTGTACTCTGGCTGAAGCTAGAGACCCCTGAGAGACAGCCAAGCCACGGCAGGGTGGGGTACGGCAGGGTGTGGCGGGAAAGGGTTGGCAGGCAGCCGTCGCATGACGAGAAAACAGCGGGAGAAAAAAAGTGTAGAGAGAAGACAAATGGCATAAGGGGAAGAAAAAGAAGAGTAGGATTGAAGCGAGAGTGAGCCAAGGATTCTTGCCAAAAGCTGCACCTTGCGAGGATTATATCAAATTCCATTGGCTTTGTGCACGCAGATCTATCAGGCTTAATTTACCTAAGTTGTCCAAAAATCCACCAGACAGGTTTCCCATGACAATAGAATCCCTCACACCATCACCGTCCGTGTAATGTCTGTTCTCAGAACGCTTCCTCAGGATCACTTCCTCTTTGAGAAGTCCGCCATCCCTAAGATCATATCTGTGTGTCGTTGAGCCTCCTGATTGTGACAAAAAACAAAGATTGGTTAGTGAGTTATGGAGAAAATTGATTCAACCATTTTGTTTTTGAAGCATATGCACTAGTGCTGTCAAATCGATTAGTCACCATTAATCGCATCCAAAATAATGTTTATGAATCATTCTTTGATTTCGTACATTTTAGTGCTGTAAAATCGATTAATCACATCCAAAATAAAAAATTTACATAATATATGTGTGTACTGTGTATATTTATCTGTATATATAAATACACACATATATACACACACACATACATACATATATATATATACACTTACATATATTATACATACACACAGACACACACACACACACAAAAAGAAAAACAAGTAGATAGAAGAGAAAAAATAGAAAGCCACACACACACACACATGTAAGTATTTCTTAATATATCATATTTATATAGAATTTATATGATATATTAAATATATACATGTATGTGTGTGTATTATATATATATACACAGTACACACACGTATATTATGTCAAATTTTATTTTGGATGCGATTAATCGATTTGACAGCACTAATATGTACCAAATCAAAGAATGATTCATACATCTTCACATGAAAATTCTGTCATCATTTACTCACCCTTATGTCATTCCAAACCAATATGAATGTCTTACTTTCATGAACACACAAATAAAGGTAGACCAGAAAGAAAATACAAAATGAAGGACAAAAAAAGTGGTCCAAATGACACTATCATCCAAGTCTTCTGAAACTTTTACTTTTTTTTACTTTAGATAATCTGTGAATGACAACTTGCACAACCGTTCAAAAGTTTGGAATGTGTACGATTTTTTAAATATTTTTTCAAATACATCTCTGATGCCCAGGCATAATTTATTTGGTAATACAATAAAAACAGTAATATTGTGAAGTTGTATTACATTTAAAACAAATGTTTTCTTTAATATATTTTATTTCAAGTTTAAGTTCAAGTTCTTGAACTTTTTTAATAGATTTTAAAATCTAATTGTATCAATTTGATCTAATTTTGATCAACTGAATGCATCCTTGCTGAATAAAAGAATTAATTTCTTTTGAAAAAAAAAATACTTGGAATATAACAATATTTAATGCACATAGACTACTTTCATTATAGTTTTATGGTGTATATTTAGAGCTTGACATTCATTGATCATTCTAGGTACATTATATAGTAAGGCATTTTGTGTTGTGTTCCACAAAAGAAACTAATACAGGCTTGGAATGAAATTAGGATGACTAAATGACAACAAAATTGTCATTTTTAAGTCAGCTACTTTTTTCTCTGATACCTTTGCCGGAAATGTATGTTGTGGTGCTGCTGTGATTGGTCACACCAGGACGGGGTGTGGAATGGCTGTACGTGGATGAGGAGGAGCTGACGTTGCGGGAAAGGGAACCGCTTCCTCCTGGGAACAGGAAATTCTGGTCCCACTTTCCATTTACAAACTGATCTGTAAGAACATAGAGAGAAGACGATATCATAAATTAGCACAGCACCATTAGTGCATTAGAATTCACAGTTGAAGTTGGCGCTCCAGAATAGGGCTTTGAACTGCGCCCCGGAGGTGGGAATCACCTCAACAGACCCAAACTGCAGAAAGCCTCTCAGTTCAGACGAAGAAACACTATTTTTATGGTACCAATGGAATTAGCAGTCTACATGAAGATGCCAATTAGCACTCTGATACTCTTGATGCCAGTTAGCACTCAAGCGACTTTGCTAGCACAGCTTTGGGTTGACGTTGGGTGTAGATGGCATGTTGTCGGCCAGGGACAGGTCTTCACCTTGTGGCAGGGTCTGTGCATGACTATCGATGGCATCAGTGGCTGGGCTCAGGCGGCTGGGGATGATGTCAGCAGGCAGTTTCCAGGACACCTTACGAAGATCCAGGTCCGAACCGACTAGCTGGACATGCTTCCAGCGTGAGCCTTCGGTAATCATGTGGGGAAGCAAGCAAGGCACATGTGTGTGCTCAACTTAATTCACCCAAAATAGAGAATTCTGTTATTAATTACCCTTTTTTCAAACCCCTATGACTTTCTTGAATACAAAAGGAGATGGTAGGCAAAACTTTGAAAAAGCAAAGTGAATGGGGCGACAAAGCACCAAAATTAAAAAAAAAAAATTGGCATTTTTGTGAAATGTTAATTTCAAGGTTATTTATATCCAACATGGACCATAATCATGGTAGTTTCTTTTTATGTTTTATGTTATTTTTGAAGCGTCCATCCCCAATCACTGGAAAAGATCTGAATCTCCTTCTGTAAATGTTGACAGAATTTTTATATTTGGGTGAACGGTTCCTTTAATATCTACAGTTAGGCAAAGAAGGAAAGAAGAAAAAGTGGGAAGTTGATGTCTTCTGAGCCCATCCATGATGCTAGCAACATTTCACAAGGCCGAGGAAACAGTCTGATCATTCTTGCCAAATGAGAGCCGTAGGAACCCATACGTTACATTCCTGAACGCTGCACAAACAATAAGTTCAACTTCCACAAAGAGCCCAGTCACCCAGTTTTACAAAGCCATAAGGAAAGAAAACCACATTATTCCATGGCAAAGGCAAGTAGTTGTGGGGTCTTCAAGGGACTAGAAAGAGCCTTGCGATTTCAACAGATGCTGCATACGAATGATGTAAGGACATCATCCTGTTACGCCGCAGATGAAGGCAGACCATGCCCGTGTCTGACTGCTATTAACCAGTAGTCAACGTAGCACGAAAAAGCTTTCGAATGCTTGAAACAATTCCATCTACATGTTCAGGCATGCAATACAGACAAGCATTGACATGTTTCGAAAAACATAAGTCTTCCCTACTATCCCTGATGAAAAGACTGCCATTGTCAGGATGCTAGTGTGCTGGTGTCCCCTTTACCAAGAGTTGCATGGCCAACCAGTTAACCCATGCTGGTTGAAATTTATCCTGGTCATTTCAGCAAGGATGTGCAGAAAACACACTACTGTTCAAGTTTGGGTCCAGCCAGATTTTTATGTATTTGAATAAAGCCTCTTATGCTTAACAAGGCTACATTTATTTGATCAGAAATACAGTGAAACAGTAAAATGATTTAAAATTACATTTTAAAGTATATTGAAATAAAAAGTTATTTTTTCCTGTGATGGTAAAGCTCAATTTTCAGCAGCCATTACCATTACAATATTATAGAACCCTTTACAGTCGCTTTACTATAGCTGACCAATTTAATGGATCTTTGCTAAATTAAAATATTAATTTCTTTCTTACTGAGCCCAAACATTTGAACAATGGTGAACATTGACTTCAATGTGTTGCAACAGTGCACCACATCACAAAAGATACCCACCTTCAGTCAGATCTGTGACGCTAGGCCTCTGGCTACCCGTTGGGGATCGCAGTACTTCATTACTGTACATCAGATAGCTATCATATTCATCGCCAGCTTCTGCGTCCACAATGGGAATGTCAGGAATGATGGGAACTGTAGGAGTGATATAAACCAGAACAAATAAAACAATCAATTCACAGTCAGCACAATGGTTTATTAAACAATTGCTCGGTCTGAATTCCATTCAATTCCATCCCAGATGCATACTTGACATGGGTCTGGTAGGTTGTGAAGCCAGGTTGATTGTGGCATCTCTGTACGGGCCCCAGCCCACCTTATTGCGAGCACGCACTTTGTAACAGTAGGTCTGAGAAGGCTGCAGGTTCTCGATGAGCAGCATGCGCTTTTTGGGGTTGTCAATCATCACCTTCTTAGAAGGTCCTACAGGCTCTAAACAGAGAAAGAAATGTGCAATCAGAGGAGCACTAAATACTACAATACTGACATACAGATGGTCTAAAAAGTTTTTAAGACTCCTACTCTTGTTCTCGTCGATGGGTGTGTAGATAACCTCATATGAAGTAATGACACCATTGGTCTCTGCTGGCTCCGCCCAGCTGACCTGAGTGACAGTGGGGCTGATGACATTGAAAGCCAGGCGACCAGGTTCACCAGGTACTAGAGGGGTAAAACAATGAAGACGGCCATGTTTGTAAGACAGAAACTTCATGGGTATACTAGAAAAAGCCAAGTAAGAAAATGATGACATGCATGCTTCCTAAACATCTGAAAAAAAGACCATTAAAATTTTAAATGAGAACAAACACAAAGTCCAGAGACTGACTTACCATCCTCTAGAGTCTGGCATTGGATGACATCACTGTAATTGCCCTCTCCGAGTGCATTGTAGCCACATACACGCATCTCATAGTCGCAGTATGGGTAGAGATTAGTCAGCTCGGCTTGAGGAGTCTTCACATCCAGTACCTGAGCATCAGCCTCAGGGTCTCCATAAATCCAGTACTTCACCTAGAAAAACAGCAAATCACAGCTCAAGTCAAATATTTAACAGCATTCTCAACTGCCTTTTTAGCTAAACTACTGTTTATTGGATTATGAATTTCATTAAAATATTGCAACTCTACAACTTCACAAGCAGAAATGGTCTGGGATTAAAAAACAGCACAAGATCTATCCTAATATGTCACAGCCCACAGTGTATAATATCATACTAGCCTACTGTAGCCTACACTTCTGTTCAAAAGTTTGGGGTCAGTTTTTTTTTTTTAATGAATAATTATAGCTAATTTAGCAAGGACATTAACTTGATCAAAAGTGAGAGTAAAGACGTATAATGTTACAAAAGATTTCTATTTCAAATAAATGCTGTTCTTTTGACCTTTCTATTCATCAAAGGATCCTGGAAAAACTATCACAGTTTCCACAAAAATATTAGGCAGCACAACTATTTTCGAGATTGATAATAATAAGATGAATTCTTTAGCAGCAGATCAGCATATTAGAATGATTTCTTAAGGATCATGTAAAACTGAAGGCTGCTGAAAATCCTGCTTTGCCATCATAGGAAAACATTACATTTTAAAATATATTAAACCAGAAAACTGTTTTTACTGTATTTTTGATAAAATAAATGAGCCTTGATGAACCTAAGCGACTTCAAAATTTTTTTAAAAATCATTCATTTTATCATTTAATTCATATATATATACACACATACATATACATATATATACTGTATATATAGAAGTGAAGAAGGTTAATTGCAGAGCACAAATCCCAAGAATGGGTCACCATACTTGGCCACACGTGACTCCACCTCACTTCACCTCTAAAAACAGCACAATTACATTTATTTCATACACTATAAATGAAAAAAATCTAAAAATAAAATCACACTGTGACTTATAAAGCCTAAATTTTCTCCCGTCACATTCCTGGCATTTGCAACAATAAATTTAAGTAAACACCATCTCATATTAGTTAACACTGTGTAAATATTGAAACTTTTACAGATTTTCACATCTCTTTCTAATCAGTAACAGGATTAGTGGTCAGAGACAGATGTTTTGAATAATTGCTGTTGCTTAACTTGGCGTCTTTGAGTATTTTTTTTTTTACTAAACTTTACAGAGGTACACAAAAAAACAACAGACTATACACACTAAATAATACAAAAACTAATGCAATTTTGTAGTATGTTATATCAGATATTATGTTACGTGACCTACCTTGTAACCATTGGCATTTGCACTGGGGTTCCAGTTTAGACGGATGTTTTTAGGGCCGGTAGCAACAGCTTTGATGTTGGTTGGGGAGTAGAGGCGTCCTCCAGGAGATGTGGCTGACTTATTAACATGTTCCATTTTCTGGAAATCCATTTTCCCATCCCCTAAAATGACAATGCAAATTTTAAGTAACAATCAACATCTGCAGATTAATGGAGGGTTCAGTTTTTCCTATAAAACATGAAATAAAGTAAAATACAATAAATATTTTTGTATTTATAGTTGGTTGCAAACATGAACCCCAAAACTGACTCTAAACCCCCTGTTTTCTCACCTCTACCATCGATGACATTCACCACTGAGGTTTTCCTCTCTCCAATGACTGCATTGTTGCTTGGGTCAAACAGTTCCAGTTGGAAGGTCTCAGGTATGATGGGAGATGGATACGAACAAGGATCAATGACAACGTTCTTTTCCGTCTCGCCAGGAGCAAATTTGAGAGGACTGGAGAGGTCGAAGCGTGAGGCTTTGTTTGTGCGCCAGTACACAGTGGTCGGACCCTCCTGGTTTCGAGTGCGTACCACAGGGATGGAGTAAAGCGGGTCAGATGTATTGTAAGTTTGAGTGCTCTTCTTAAACATCACGACACTGGGTTCTATGAGGACATATGAGACATTTCAAATTTAGGTTAAGGAATAACAACACATTATACTTTTAAATCTGTAAGGCTGATATATACCTGGTTTATCTGCGATGGTGATGGTGGTGCGTGGGTAACGGCCCAGTTTAGCACCTTGCCGTGGGTTACTCAGATCCATTACAAACTGTTTGACCTGTTTGTCCTCCAGCAATCCATCTCCCTCCCCAAGCTCCAAGAGTTTCACTGGGACTGTCTTCTGCATTTCACCTGGTGCATAACTCAAGTCTCCATCAGCTGAGATATAGTCCTACGAAGACAAGAGAAAAATAAGCATACAATCAAACAAATAAAAATGACTTCAGGGTGTCTTTTCCCTGCATATTCATATCTTTAAATATGCATGATATGCATATCCATATCACTTATTTGGCACATTACATCTCTGTTGTGGTCTCATTTTATTAGAGAAAATCTAATCACTTTAATCAAATGTAAATACAGAAATACAGAACTTGTAAAGCACATTTTACCTTCTTGTCTTTGGCAGTGAGGTCACGGGTGCAGTATGTGACCTGAGTCCGTCCATCCTCTATGATCTCACGACTGATCGGGATGTTCGCCACACCATCCTGACGACTGTAGGTGTATGACGGCTGCAGGAAGGTGAAGATGCTCCTAGCTATATGAGAATAAATTAAAATAAAAAAAATTAAGATTTCGCCACTTAATATCCACTTACTGCAATATCAGAAAATGCTTGTTTTTAAGAATAATCCTAATTTGGCTGAAAAAAATATGCCAATGGGGTAAGAGAAAACATTCTCTGTAAACAAGTTTTGTCAGATTTGTCTTTTATTATTACCATGTTCCTTAATCACGGTGATGTTGACATGATCTTTGCCGATCTTCGCAATTCCTACTGGAACGTCAACAGCTTGAACAAGCAGCTCTTTCTTTTCATCATCCTCATCTTTGATAAAGAGGGGAACCCGGACATCCACGGACTCCACACCCTCCTGAAACTCCACAGCCCCTGCCGCTTCTACAAGACAGACAAGTACATGGACGCATAACCATTAAACTCACATAACAACCCCAAAACGTTACAACAGGCAACAGACTGCAATCTAAATGTAGTTAAAAGTCTATGGGTTGTGCAGGGTGTCTGTACCTCTGTCTGAGGCTACAGTGTAGTAGCCTGGAACTAACTTCAGATCCCGGAAGTTTCCAGCCTGAACCTGTTTATCTGTCAGTTTCACAATATCTGGGTAACTGGCACGAGGAGCAGATAAAACCGTGTCTACAATCGTGTTGTTCTGTCTGTGAATGCAAATAAGAATTATTATTGTTTCTCTTCAAATTTTCAGATTTGTAGTCCCTGTACAAATCAGTAAATCTAACAAAGAAATATCCAGTTCATATTTCACCCCATTTATTTGATAAAACACATTGCTAAATATTATTACATTTTAAAATAATAGCATTTTAATACATTTTAAAATGTAATTTATTCTTGGGATGGTGAAGCTGAATTTTCAGCATCCATTGTTCCAGTCTTCAATGTCACATGATCCTTCAGAAATCATTTTAGTATTCTAATAATAAAAAGTTTTGTGAGATTTACCCTAATCAATAAACTCAGACTTAAAGTGACATACAGTATTTCATCAATGCTAGCTCAGTTGTAGCTACTGTACCTCTTTCCAGAATTTCTTTGTGTCCTGAGGGAGTAGAAAAAGAGTAAAACAGTACATTCAGACACAAAATCTGAGACTCATCCAATACTTTAGAAAAAATTGCCCACAAGGCACAGCCAAGCCAATTTTAATGAGTCATTGAGAGCTACTTCTCACCTGAATCGAGTCTTTTGCACTCTCTGTGAGCCAGGGATCTGCAGGAACACGTCATTGAGCTGTTTATGATAAAACAAAGAGACATTAGCAGTCAGGCATGACGGTTCATGTGGGAGAAGTTGTTTCTTATTGGGTGGGGTGGGGTGGGGGGGTGCATCACGCATTTATAAGCACTTACGTTGTCCTCTACTTCTCGCCTGAGCATGTCTGTGTCTCGAGCCTCAGGGTTGGAAAGAGTTTCTGAATATTGCCGGTTCAGACGAAGAGAGACAGGGTACTGAACTACAAAGAAAAATACAGAGAGAATGAATATGAATACAAGCTAAGCAAGCATGAAAAAAATGCCCATGTGATAAAAAAAAGACATGTTACCAAAAAATTTAAAGGGATCATTCACCCAAAAATTACAATTCTGCCATCATTTACTTTCCTCATGTCGTTCCAAACCTATAATACTTTCTTTCATCTGTGGATTTTTTGGAGCCCCCGTTGACTTGTACAGAAATATTTTTCAAAACATTTTCTTTCTATTGTGGAACAATAGATAAAAAGGTCACAGGTTTGGAGATTTTGGGGTGAACGGTTACTTTAATACTGAACCCTGTTCACACTAGATGACTAGACAACTAGTTGAATCTCAGTCTAGACTCACTGGTCTCTTTGGGGTTGGGTTTGATTTGGTTCTGTGGGTGGTTTAGTCCTCGATGAACATTGTCTGTCACTTTCCAGCGCACAATGTCTGTGCTTTTCGGCGGGCCGGTGCGCACCATTGGGGTGTCCAAATGATCGGAGGTCAACAAAGACTGGCGTAGCATGTAGTGATCTTCTTTGAATCCCACCATACGACCTGCCAATCACAAACACATTAAAAACAAAACAGTAAACCTGTTTCTGCTGAACTCTGTATAGTGTAACTGAAGTGTAACAGAATGAAAGATGATTACCTCTGCCACAGCATGGGAGAAGAGCAAGACATGCCTGTTGGGGACAGAGAGCAAACATTAATCAGCTGAGATTTAACATTGCTAAACCACATCTTAACCAGTCGCACACAACAAGTTAAGCAGCAAGTAACTTGTGGTTTCAAAGAAAGCAAAAATGCTGTCCAACACAACAGAATCAAAGCCATTTAGAACATATTGGATGTGTATGTATATAACGAGACAAGCAACAAGACATCTTACTTTTTTTAATCATATATAATCGCCTCCAATAAAATCTAGACAGTTCTGTTCCACTTAGCTGTATAATACACAAACATGTTCGGACTGACTGTATTTTTGTTCTTTGTGCAGTATTTTGAGTTTCACTGACAACAGAAAATAACTTGACACTGGAAACTCCTGATGTCATGCCTGGTTATGGGAAGGTGTTTGTGTATTAAATTTGGGTGTTTTTTTCCATTTCTCATTTTTCTTTCTTATCTTTTCCTTACTTTTGTTAGCTTTAGTTTACTAAATTTGACAAAACTTCCTTTTCAGGACTTTCTGACACGCTGAAAATAAAATAAAATAAAAAGTATATGTGTATATCTACCTTGCAACAGGCGCAGTATTTCCAGCAGCAGAGCAAAAGCAAACCAAGCAATAACATCAGAAACATAATGAGAGGAATCAACCACAGGAAACCTGCAGGTGGACAGTCTGATAAACAGAGAAACAATCGGTTAGTTTAACCCTGACGTGCATTTCTCACCACACTCTTGTTCAAGAGCTATATTTCGTATGAAATAATACATATGTATATGACAAATTATCTTAAATGAACTTATAGGTCCACCCAAATGATGTATAAATCATTTAATTTTTTATCATAAAAAAAGTACAATTAATATTTGTGAATATCTCACCTTTCTTTTTCTTTACTAGGACGTGGTGTTCTTTGTCTGTGATGTTTAATGGATAATTCACAGTGTAGTGGTATGTGCAGTCGTCATCTTCGTCACGGAAACTGCACGTCTCTATTACGTTTTTATCTGTGGACACAGTAAGTAAATCAATTCATCATTGTTTCATCCATCCATAAACAAATCCATGAGTATAGCTATGTCTTTTAATATAAAACTAAGATGTGATGCCGTACCTTCTTCGAGCTCTTCCACCATGATGATTTTAAAGAAACATTCATCACATTTCCGTCCTTTTCTCTCACCGGTGTTCCAGGCCTGGCACTGAACGCAGCTCCTTTTGGCTTCACACATGCCCAATTGTTGCTGCATTAGGAAAGACGGTTGGAGTTGGTATAAGTATATAACTAATTAACAGGGAATACAGACAAACGGACACACACACACACACACACACACATCACAGTCGTACCTGGAAGTTTGCTTCACAAGTGGGGCTCAGTGGAAGTCCGGAGTGTTCACACTCACAACGACCGCATTTACACACACCACGACCATTACAGATGCCCTACAAAAGAACACTTTTATTATACACAGAACTATGTTTTACCTAGACACATTTCAAAATTGAGTTATGAGTGAAATGGGTCTCTTAGACTGTCAACAGTTCTGTGACAGACGGGTTTGCCTCAACTATGCTATGATTTAGAGAAAACATATTGTGAGCACTGATATCAAATAATTTAAAATTCAATGGAAAAACATCAGTTTCAGTGTTGACGTAGTTAATGAATTTTAACTACCAGCAAATGACACCAACTACTTAAATTAAATAATATAATAATAAATATTCATATAATACATTATATATAGACTGTTGTGCCCTTTTTATATTTGTTTTGATTTTACATTTTTGTGCAGTCAGTGGGTCATTATAGCAAAATAAAGCCCAAATACATAAGCCCAAAATATGTAATTTTTAAAAATAAATGTGAATATTGACATACCATAGACTTGGGAATATAGTTTAGGTGACCATACAGTTTAAAGTCAATAAGAGTTTTAATTTTTTTAAAGAAGTCGCTTATTCTCTCCAAGGCTGCATTTATTTAATAAAAAAAATTGTAAAACTGTAATATTGTGAAATATTACTACAATTTAAAATAACTGTTTTCTATTTCAATATATTTTTTAAATGCAATTTATTTCTGTAATGCCAAAGCTGAATTTTCAGCAGCCATTACTTCAGTCATTTCAATTTAATGCATCCATGATTAATAAAAGTATTACTTTCTCTAAAAAAAACGTCTTACTGACCCTACATTTTTGAACAATAGTGTGCTTGCATAGTGAATTTATATTTTTGTGAACATTACCCCTTTGCTGTCAAGACATGATCCGTTGCTGATGGGACATTCACAGGCATCTCCAGTCCATCCCGGTGTACAAACACATCTGCCCATACTGCAGCTTCCACGTTCTGTTGTTGCAAAGATAAAATGTCAGAAATCTGGAAACTTAACTACGACAACACATCAAAGCATGTCTGCAACTAATACAACATTATCAAATGACTGTATTGCCTGTCTTTCTTTCATCTTTCCAACTAAATTCGGGATATATTAAAATCGAAAAATCTTTTCACTAACCATTACAGAGAAATCCACCAAATCTCTGGCACTGAGATTTGTCAAACTGGCAGAAGGGACCTTCAAACTGGTTTGGGTTATAGCACACACAGGTCCCACACATGCAGTCTCCTCTGCCCGAGCAAGGCTTGGTCTTGCCAGGTTCGATGCACATGGCAGAGTCTGTGGAGGACCCTGCTGAACAGTTACAGAAAGGTCCTAGCCTATGAGAGGCGGTGCATAGAAAAGAAGCGGGGTTATGGACTGCAATATAATCGGCACAAACCAAAGATGTCAAAAGACACAAAAATGAATACTACCATCCATCATAACACTGGCATTTCCCACAGACAAGATCTCCATGGCTGTTACAGCGCACTGCATTTTTAACTGGGGTCTGATGTTAAAGTAGAAACAGAAGTGTAAGATTTTAAATGAACACGCAGAACAGGAGAAGGGTTATGAAGATGTTGCAGGCCTCACCTTTTCGCAGTCACATGTTTGACAGAGCACTTCAGCATTGATTCTGAAGGCAGAGCTAAAGGTGGTTGGTTTGACTCTTAAGGTTCCTGCCCGGTCAGCCTGGTTGGCATTACACACATGCTGCTCTCCCACCTGATTAAGAGCCTTCAGACGGACTCTAAATTTACCCTTCACAGAGAGAAAACTTGAATCAGGTTTTTAAATTTTAAAGCATAAAATTGATTTTATAAAATTGCAGTGCATGCAGCTAGTGTGAAAACCAGCATGCATTTTGTTTTCTGTCGGATAAGTAATAAATTACATCAAATATTTCAATAAATAAAAAAATAATAATTAAAGAAATACATATATATATAAAAAAAAGAATCAATTAAAAATGTTCGTAAAAAATTACTTTTTAAATCATATTAAGTTATTAGTTTTTCCTTCCTTCTGAAAAAATGGCAAGTGCGTGAGAGACAACATTTGAAGTTGTCTATTAAAAAGAAGTCAAAGGCACTCACAGTTTCACCTGGATTGATTTTGAAATAGCCAGTTTCAGAAAACGTGCCGGACTGAGAGAGTATCTTGGCTTCCACTGCTTTTGGTCTGTCTTCTGCACGGATACTGATCTTGGAGCGAATATTCTGTTCAAAAAATGATGGTTCAAAAAAAGAGTTACATCCATTTTGAAAAAAAAAAGAAAAAAAAAATCTCAGCAATGTATTTGGTATGAAAATTAATTTACCTGAAAAGCTTTATCTAAAATGTTTAAGATGTTAGAGGAATCTTCTTGCAACTGTCCCAGCTCAGCAATAGGGAAGTATTCAGAAAGTTTCTACACACAAAGGAAACCATAATGTGTGTCACAAGGAAGTTTATATCCAGTTTTCAATATAATGTTTATTCATATTGTGGTCTCTGAGAACTTTTAAATGAGACAATTAAAATACTTTTTAAAGGCATACAAACCTCATAGTAAGAGTAGGAGTGGTTAGTAACTGCGAAGATTGGAATGATGTTATGTTTCACCAGAAGTCGCACTAGGGTAGGTATAGATGGGTAGTCTTGTCGAATATCATGTGTGTAATTTCCATCTGGAGTCAGGTGGCATTGCTCATCGTTACGATCCAAGATGCCCGCAAGCACATTGGCACCGTCTGCCTCATAATGGAATGCCGATTCGGTGGAGAAGACCAGCAAGTGGGTGCTTTGTTTCCTCCAGCCAATTTGTTCCTGTGAAAATGGGAAACAAGTTATACTGTAGCAGTAAGAAGTAAGTTATTATTACAGTACTGTAAATGCCAAGCATTTTTCACTTCTGTCTACCGAATTAACTTCTTAAAAATAGACTCTCAAGACCTGGCACACAGCAGTCTGTAAGATGGCATCAAAACCCCCTTCGGGGGCATCCAGGTTGCCAGATATGCGCTCTCGCTGGAGCTTCTGTCTAAAGGTGTTTATGTTGTTGGTGAGACTGATGACGTTACGGAATGAAAACGGAGGGTCACTGTTGGCCCACGGCACTGCTAATCTGTAAGAGGAAACACATATATAAGGAGCATGTGCAGACAAAGTCAAACTGCGTGGTGCTGTAATGCTGTATTATTCTTACTTGGACGGCCTCATGTCTGTCTGAGGCTCGGTGACTTTGTCTACAAATTTGCCAAATCCGATGGTGTAATCGTCAGAGAGTTTGCCAACAACCTGAGCTGCATGAGGTGAAACCAGACAATGAATGAATATTAAAATGTTGCAAAACAAACAATTTTGTACTCATGAGTTTGGTACCCAACCCTAGCTTGCCCAAGGGGTATAATTTTAGAAATTGCATTCAAAAACAGCAAGACAATGCGCAATAGATTCGGAGAGAGACTCGAAATACGTATTTAAAAGTTGAAGTTAACTTGACCCACCATCTAAATAATGCAACACTTATGGCTCAAGATGAAAAACAGTGAGACGTGACACAACAGCCAATGTAAAAATAACTAGAACTCAGCTCTCTGTTGCAGCGTAGCAATACATAAACAATTCTAACAATTATTAAAGGGGTCCTATTATGCTTTCTCACTTTTTCAACTTTAGTTAGTCTGTAATGTTGCTGTTTGACATAAAAAAAGATCTGCAAAGTCCATTTCAAAAGGAGATATTTTATTTAACAGAAATCACTTTTCAAAAACTACAACAAACGACTTGTTTGGACTACAAAGCATATTTTCCGGGATTTATGATATCACAAATATCGACGAATGGGATGAGACCTGGTTGAGCAGCACTAGAGAAGGCAACGAGTGTTATCACTATGTCAGAGACACGCTAGCTTTCCCAAGGCAGATGAACTTAAGAGTGCTTACAATCATCCGGGTTTAAATCGCGCTCAAATTGATTTGATACTGATGCCATATTTACACTGAAGCTGGCAGGCGGCTATGGTAAGGGGCGTGACATTTCCCGACCAGGCGCCGAGTGCTGCCAATCACAACACACACTGGCCCAGCTAACCAATCACAGCACATTTTGTATTTCAGAAGGCCGGCCTTCATTTGATACAGGAACTATTCGAGCCGTTCATGCCAGACTGGGGAGAGAAGTGTTGTAATAATGTAAAATATGTGAAAAATAATGTGTTTTTCGAACAACCTAGTATGAGAGCCTGTTCTAGTACACCCCCAAAACAAAATCAAGACTTTGTAAAAGAGCATAATAGGACCCCTTTAAGGTCTTCATTTTTCATTATTCATTTAGCAGACACTTGTCAATTATGATGGTTGCATCACCCCTTGCAATGTTTGAACTAGGCAGGGCGATATAGCTAAAAAAATGTTTAGCCTTTTGGTATAACAATTTTTATTTTATATTGGATATATACACGCACACACATACATGTTGAGACGAGAACGAACTGTTGAATCAGAGTTCCAGTTTAAACTGAGTCAGATCTAAAATTACCAACTCTAACACCATGTTTTTCTACTGTAGTTTATTGAAAAATTTACAATGGTGCTTAATTTTACACAGCAAATCATCATATTTCACCCAGCCCAAATTACAATGGTTACCAGCCCAGATCTAACCACTATGCTACACCACCCTCCTCGCTTGCTCACCCAGCTGGTCTCCCATCCTCTTCAGGTTGTCCAGATCATCAGACATAGAGTTGGAGAAGTCCATGAGGATGTAGAGGTCCAGAGGGCCACGGGCTGGTTCAAACACCTCCATCTCCACCTCCTTCTCCTCCCCGGGGAGAAGCGTCATGCTCATTAGCTGAGGGGCCACCTGAGAGTACTTCAGTGACTTATCGATTTGCACATTCTGAAAAAAAGATAACAAAAAGGCACATGAATGCATAAACACACATGACTCCACGACATGGACAAGTAACTAAAGTGAGGGACAGATTCTGAAAAAACAAACCTCTTCAATTTTCCTACTGCTCTCAATTGTTACCATCCGACTACTACATTTACGGGCCTGTAAGTTTTCCCTCAGGTCACAACGCTCATACTCGAAGAGCTGATGAGAAATAACAGATAAAAATAAAAGCAATGACACAGCTGTGGTCATACAGAGAGCTACAATAGATTTTATGAACATACAAATAACCGAACACCATAGGCAGGGCCGGAATAACATAAGGGCTAGGCGGGGTTGAAGCCCCAGGGCCCGCGGATTGAGGGGGCCCTACATGATTGGCTGTGGAGGAAAGGGAAAGTAGACCTTGAATTCATCGGCCATCGGGAGCACCCGAGCTTTTCCCGGTGTGCCGACTGCCGAAATCCCACCACACCCCCACATATTAGTGTCTGTGCTATTTCAGTCCAAAAGATGAGTGATAAAAATGTCTTTGTACTCGTTTACACTAGAGTTGCGAGTATCTTTTAATCACCTCGGCTTTACTGTAGCGCATGGGAAACAAACACTGAAAGCCAAGTGATGAAACGGCACTAAATTACCTGATTAAACCACGTAGCGCAAGAGAACAGCAGGACCATACCGGACCGGTGTCTCACGCCCGTGCAGCGCTGACAACGACTGTAGCTCTATTGAAGTGATAATAAGCAGCGCTTGCCCATTTGAATTTCGACACACAACACTTATATGCCAACAGTAAAGTCTCTGTGGTGAAGGTACATTAACCAATTTAATCCGCACAGCACCACACCTAGGCTATTTAACATGCAGTTACTGACACTGTAGAAATATGGCATTAATGATATTTATTATTAATGTCACGAAAATTGTTATAGACTACTTATTGCCTATCAAATATTGGGTCAAATAAAGGCAATAAGTCACTTTTATAAAGGTTTCTAATACTATTGTTGACTCTGGATTCAAGAATTAGCTTTTCATTAGGGCAACTACAAAGGAGAATTTAATAGTTCTAACTTTAATTGCAGAAAAATATGAATTTAATAATTAAGAGCCTGCAATATAATTAGAATATTAATATTGTTAAATGCATTTTAAGAATTCAAAAACATCACCGTAATTTATTAAATAATTAATTTATTTGTTTATTCCAATTGCCCTAACCCCAGCAAAACATTTATGGGAAAACATTTAAATAAAATAAATAAATCCGGGCCTGGCCATAAGTGTCACTTACGGTGGGGGCCGTAAAATAAAATACAGTACTTGTCGAAAGTTCATTAAGATTTTTCTTTTTTTCTAATTAATACTTTTATTTAGCAATGACACATTAAATTGCTCAAAAGTGACAGTAAAGACAAAAAAAAGAGAAGAACAGCTCAAATCACTGTTTAATAAGACTGTTGTGTCATAATTTAATAATGAAATTGTTGTTTAAATGAAGGTTGGACATTTCTAATCAGATTGTATTGGTTTAGATTTGTAAATCTACACTGGTGGTGGTTGAGGAGAGATTGTAAAGCGCTTTGGGTGTACAATACACCATAAAGCGCTATATAAATGCATCCATTCATTCATTCATAAATGAGTTAATACTCTTCTACAGACCTGATCTCTGGATCAACACGTCATAGAGACTAGTTATGGAAACATGTTAAAAACATATATAACATCACTTCATTCTTCAGCATAAGGATCAGGGAGTTTCACCTCATCGGGGCAGTAAGCACATCCTGTGTCAATCCGGATGCATTCTGAGCAGGTTTTTGCCCTGGCAGCAGTACAGTGGTTCACTATGCAACACAAAAAGCATAGTCTTCTTAGCATTATATATTTGGGAAACCTTTGAATTTCAATGCATTAAATAAAACATTTAAACATCAAACAAATGATACCAGAGACTTCCTCCAAACTAACTTAACATTTTTCTGAGCCATTTTTGCAATGTCTTTTAACCAACTGTTCTATTCTTGAAAAAGTCCAAATAGCAGCAACCAAATACTTTTTCCGTCATTATTTTTAACAATAAATCATTATCATTTAAACAACCTAATAAACTTCTTTTGCTTGAAAAGTGAATTTCTGCTATCGTTATTTAAAATAAATAACACTTGGGCTGATGTTTTATTCAGTGCATTGACATTTTATATATACATATACACACACACACACACACAGAACAATTATAAATGCAACACTTTTATTTTTGCTCCCATTTTTCATGAGCTGAACTGAAAGATCGAAGACTTTTTCGATGTACACAAAAGGCCTATTTCTCTCAAATATTGTTCACAAATCTGTCTAAATCTGTGTTAGTGAGCACTTCTCCTTTGCCGAGATAATCCATCCACCTCACAGGTGTGAAAACCAGTCAGTATCTGGTGTGACCACCATGTGCCTCACGCAGTGCAACACCTCTCCGTCGCATAGAGTTGATCAGGTTGTTGATTGTGGCCTGTGGAATGTTGGTCCACTCCTCTTCAATGGCTGTGCGAAGTTGCTGGATATTGGCAGGAACTGGAACACGCTGTCGTATACGCCAATCCAGAGCATCCCAAACATGCTCAATGGGTGACATGTCCGGTGAGTATGTTGGCCATGCAAGAACTGGGATGTTTTCAGCTTCCAGGAATTGTGTACAGATCCTTGCAACATGGGGCCATGCATTATCATGCTGCAACATGAATGGCACAACAATGGGCCTCAGGATCTCGTCACGGTATCTCTGTGCATTCAAAATGCCATCAATAAAATGCACCTGTGCTCGTTGTCCACAACATACACCTGCCCATACCATAACCCCGCCGCCACCATGGGCCACTCGATCCAGCTCATGAAAAATGGGGGTAAAAACAAGTGTTGCGTTTATAATTTTTTTCAGTGTATATAGTGCATTCAGAAAGTATTCAGACCCCCTTCACTTTTTCAATTTTGTTATGTTGCAGCCTGATACTTCAATTGTTTAAATAAATGTTTTTCCTCAATCTACACTCCATACCTCATAATGACAAAGTGAAAATTAAAATAATTCTGTAAATTTATAAAAATAAAAAAACTGAAATATCACATTTACCTAATTATTCAGACCCTTTACTCAGTACTTAGTTGAAGTACCTTTGGCAGCAATTACAGCCTCGAGTCTTTTTGGGTATGACGCAACAAGCTTTGCACACCTGGATTGGGGGATTTTCTGCCATTATTCTTTGCAAAAACCTCTTAAGCTTGGTCAGGTTGGATGGGGACCGTTGGTGGACAGCCATTTTCAGGTCTCTCCGGAGATGTTCGATAGGGTTAAAGTCAGGGCTCTGGCTGGGCCACTCTAGGACATTCACAAAGTTCCCCCTAAGCCACTCCTGGGTTGCCTTGGCTGTGTGCTTAGGGTCATTGTCATGTTGGAAGGTGAACCTTCGGCCCAGTTTGAGATCCTGAGCGCTGTGGAACAGGTTTTCATTGAGGACATCTCTGTACTTTGCTCCATTCAGCTTTCCCTCAACCCTGACCAGTCTCCCAGCCCCTGCCGCTGAAAAACAGCTCCACAGCATGAGGCTGCTACCAGCACACTTTACTTTTGGGATGATACTCTGCAGGTGATGAGCAGAGCTGGTTTCCTTCAAACATGATGCTTAGAATTGAGGTTCATCAGACCAGATAATCTAGTTTCTCAGAGTCTGAGGGTCATTTAGGTGTTGTTTTGCAAATTCCAAGTGTGTTTTCATGCATCTTCACTGAGGAGAGGATTGAGTTTGGCCACACTGCCATAAAGCCCAGATCAGTGGAGTGTTGTAGTGATGTTTGTCCTTCTGTAGGTTTCTCCCATCTGCATATGTGATCATGGAGCTCAACTAGAGTGACCATCAGGTTCTTGGTCACCACTCTAACCAAAGCCCTTCTCCATCAATTGCTCAGTTTGGCTGGGTGACCAGCTCTTGTAAGAGCTCTGGTTGTGCCAAACTTCTTCCATTTAAGAATTATGGAAGCCACTGTGCTCTTGGAAACCATAAAATTATTTTGTAGCCTTCCCAAGATCTGTGTCTCGATACAATCCTGTCTCTGAGCTCTGCAGGCAGTTCCTTTGAACTCATGGCTTGGTTTTTGCTTGGACATGCATTGTCAGCTGTGAGGCCTTTTATAGAGAGGTGTGTGCCTTTCCAAATCATGTCCAATCAATTTAATTTACCACAGGTGGACTTCAATCAAGGTGTAGAAACATCTCAGCAATGATCAAGAGAAATGGGAGGCACCTGAGGTAAATTTCAAGTGTTGCTGAATACTTATGTATATGTGCTATTTCAGTTTTTTCTTTTTAATAAATTTACAGACATTTCTAAAATTCTGTTTTCACTTTGTATTTATGAGGTACAGAGTGTAGATTAATGGGAAAAAATGACTTTAAACAATTGTAGTATCAGACTGCAACATAACAAAATTGAAAAAAGTGAAAGGGGGTTTGAATTATTTCTGAATGCATATATATATATATACACACACACACATTATAGCATGCAAAGCATTTGGACAGTTAAAAAATGTACTTCACTGTATTAGATAATGAAATATCAACCCAAATGTCATCACATACAGTATATTGGTTGTCATTACCAATTATAGTTAGCAGAAAGTAATCTGGTGTTTTTAACTGACTTAGCATTGCTTCCTAAGTAAAAGTGTTTGTAATTGAGATTTGAGGTTAAGGGGGCTTAAGTGTTGATGTTCCCACCCTCATTAGCATGGCTGGCTGTCACAGCGAGCAAGAGAACGTAGATCCCCACAGCGAGACGCAGCGCCCATCCTCCCATTTCAGTCTGAAAAATAAATAAAAAAATAGTGAGATCACACATTTTACATAAAGTTAAACATGGTGAACAGATGTCACACAGAATCACATGCACACATATGGAGATACACACCATAGCTGATCATAACTGAACGGAGTAATTCAAGGCATGCAAGACATGCCTTGGTAAACACCATAAAACATTCAGCAAAAACCTCATAATGACCAGACACACTGCAGTGCACATTTACTTAAAATCTACACCATTTATCTGTATGTGTCCATTACACTTTTAGAGACCTGTCCATATATAATCTACAGCAGAATAGCATGCACCTCAGCTGTTATATCAGCGCTTAAATCACAAAAACAGACGCAGAAATCTGATCCACCTGCCCAATATCACCTTCTCTCGCTTTTCACTCTCTCCCTTTCTCCCTGAAAACATCAAATGAAAGTTGAGCCCATTTCACCCCCCATAAATCTGAACTCTGAGAGTGAAGAGGAGAAACAGACCAATGATTCCTCAGGAATTCCTCTCATATCCTCTACAGATGGACACAGTGAAGAGAAAGACAATGGAAAGTTTGAGAAGAACTTTTCATATATATTTGTGCATTACACTTTGGTCTTATAATTTTTTTTTCTAATTGAATTGCAAAAATACATTTTTGATTGTATTCTGCATAATTTGATATAACTTTCAGATTATAATTTTTTTTGTAATTAATTACATTAATTTCTGACTTTAATTCCATATCAATATTTGCTGATTAAAAACAAGACACATTCTTGCATGTGTCAACGCACACACTGTATGCATCAGACACTGTGTCACTTCTCACTCTTTTTTTTTTTTGTGTGTGTTTTTAGTCGAATTTCGAAGCCCTGCATTTTGTTCAATTCCACTGAGCTCCATCTAGGACACAAAACACATTCTCTGAACATCTCCATACTCATTCTGTGTAGCCTGCTCTTGCTAAATGTGGTTCAGTGAAACGTATAACTTGTAGTAGCAGCTGGTGCTGAACTGACTGCAGACTTGCAAAAACCATCAGGTTTGTACTTCAAGTACTTGTACTTTGAATATGTATATATATAATATCCAATAGCACAAAAATTGCTAACTATGGTATTTACTTACAAATCACGTTTACATACAAGTTTTTTTTTAAAATAAGTGCACTAAATTATCATGTTAAATTGAAAGCCTTGCCAATTTTATCCAACAATAAACTAAACCCCCAAAATATACAAAACAATACTTTCCTCCCTCAAAACAGGATGTTCCAAACTTAGTGTTGGCACATCCATCGACTTTACATTCACATATAACTGCTCAAGTTCATATTTTGACCAACATCACTGGAATTTCACTCCAGGATGCAAGAAAACTCAATCTCATAAATATCACTGCGCTTGAGACCTGAACAGACCTTAGCATGCTATTGTGAACCTGATCTGGCATGTACTAACCTGGGCATTAAATCATGTACACAGAGAAAAACAACAGAACCCAGAAGTAGCCAATACAAACATAGCCTATTAGACATTTTGTGTACTTGACATTTTCTTGTGGCAAATGAAGCATTTTAATAAGACTTACAAGTTGTCATTCCTTCACATTGCACCTTTTTGCATCTTTTGAAACTTTAAGGAACAACTTTTTTAGAGCTAATTTTCTCGGCAAAGCTAAATACAAATTTGACAATGTTAATCCATCTGAGAATAATAATGAATAATGAACAAACTTAATAGTCACAATATATACAAAATGATCCAGACACAAATGTGAATAGATGGACACAAATGCATAACAACATTCAAATAAAAAAACAACAGAAAATGAATGGCACTTCAAAGCTTCAGACTCTCTTTTGCAAAAGGCAAAACAACCAACAGCCAAACACTCTCATATATTCATACAGATTTACTGGAAAATGTTTAGAAGATGAAAAACAGAAACAGCTGAACAGTAGTGGGCAAACTTTAAAGACCTAAAACAAACTTATTCAAAGAATTCTATTAATTTTGTCAGCCACAAACATCAGCTGAAAAACACAACAAACAAAAAGAGACAAGCAAGTAAAGAGGAAAAGGGAAGTACAGAAATACAAAATACATGCATGACTGTGAGGCTTTACAAAAAGATTGTTGATCTCACAAACCTCTTAGTTTGTTGTTTCCCAATCAAAGTCCCAGAGTCCAACCAGAAACAGCAAAGTTCTCTAAAAGAAAATCCTTAATTCTCTCCCTTTTGCCCAATGATTAACCGAAGAGGGAAAATAACTGTTTTCCACCTGCGTCTTCACAAATTCAAACAACAGGGAAACTTCTTGTGCTAGCAGGAAAAAGTTCCCTTCCTACCCCTCTTGGTGCTGTGCAAAATCGACTGAATATTCCCCCCCAGATACGACTTGTGTTTAAGAGTGAATGTGTGTCTGGTCCCTCCTCTTTTGCTCAAGCTGTTCAGGTGGGTTGCAGGCAACACCCTTCCTTTCTTTCTCTGGCTTTGTGAGGTAACAAGGTCGCTCCACCTTTCTCTATGTCCTTTTCTCGTTCGCTCTCTGCACATTCCTTTAGCAGCACCCTCACCTGTGTGGACTTGAGAATGACAGGTCAGAGCTCCTCCCCGAGGGGGAGAGGAAAAGAGACCGAGAGACAGAAAGAGAGGGAAAGAGTGAAGAAACCCTGCCCTGACTGCCCTTGCACAGGGAGTGGCAGGCAGATATATTGCCTGCAGGGTACAAGGAATCATTGCCGCACTCATTTCTGCACACGCATACGCAGGTACACACACGAACACGTGCCTCGTCACACTTGAAGACAATGCGGATAGTTTTGAAAGCGACCAACTAAACTCAGAGATATGCGTGAAAAACAATCCGACAGGCTTCACACACTCAAATGAACTCAACAGCTCACACAGAGAATTGCCTTTGAAGTCTTTCAAATGTCACTGCCACAAAAATGTGCCCTAATTCAAGAGGGAAAAGAGAAAGTGAGACAGCAAGAGAGGAACCGAGAGATACAGTGAACAAACGGGGAGAGGGGGAGAGAGAGAGTGGTGAAAACATGCATTCCTGTGCGGTGGGAACAAAACAAAAGTTTCCAGAACGACCTCCATTAACAACTTGACCAGGTCAGTGACCTCATCCAGACAAGCTTAGAGAGAGAGAGAGAGAGAGAGAGAGAGAGAATAGAACAATCGATAGACAGACAGAAGGATTGATAAGTAGTTAGACAGACAGATAGATAGATAGACAGACAAACAGACAAAAAAGTGATAGATGGATAAACAGAACGATAGACAGAATGATAGAACGACAGAACATTCGACCATTCGACAGTAGGAAGATAGACAGAACGATAGACAGAACGATAGACAGAACGATAGATAGATAGATAGATAGATAGATAGATAGATAGATAGATAGATAGATACACTCTTAAAAATAAAGGTGCTTCAAAAGGTTCTTCAAGCGATGCCATAGAAGAACCATTTTTGGTTCCACAAAGAACCATTCAGTCAAAGGTTCTTTAAAGAACCATCTCTTTCTTACCTTTTTATAATCTGAAGAACCTTATTTCGCCACAAAGAAACTTTTGTGAAACAGAAAGGTTCTTCAGATGTTAAAGGTTCTTTATGGAACCATTTAGACAAAAAGGTTCTTCTATGGCATCGTCAAGCACCTTTATTTTTTAGAGTGTAGATAGATAGGAAATAAATATAAACAACAGATATAGTGATAGAACAATCGATAGACAGACAGAAGGATTGATAAGTAGTTAGACAGACAGATAGATAGATAGACAGACAAACAGACAAAAAAGTGATAGATGGATAAACAGAACGATAGACAGAATGATAGAACGACAGAACATTCGACAGATGAGCGATAGGAAGATAGACAGAACGATAGACAGAACGATAGACAGAACGATAGATAGATAGATAGATAGATAAAATGACAGACAGACATTAGATAGATAGATAGATAGATAGATAGATAGATAGATAGATAGATAGATAGATAGATAGATAGATTGACAGAATTATAGAATGACAGACAGATAGAACGACAGAACGACAGACAGACAGACAGACAGATAGACAGACAAAAAGTGATAGATGGATAAACAATAGACAGAACATTCGACAGACAGATGAGCGATAGGAAGATAGAATGATAGACAGAACGATAGATAGATAGATAGATGGATAGATAGATAGATAGATAGATAGATAGATAGATAGATAGATAGATAGATAGATAGATAGATAGATAGATAGATAGATAGATAGATAGATAGATAGAATGACAGATAGATATATAGAATGACAGATAGACAGACACAGATAGAACGACAGACAGACAGACAGATAGATAGATAGATAGATAGATAGATAGATAGATAGATAGATAGATAGATAGACAAAAACACACAGGAAAAGTGTACAGACACACCATGGTAACGTAAAATCATGGGAAGCACATTCCCGCAGGGCAGATGCATAACACTAAACACACAATGAGTCAGAAATAAGGTGTGTCCTTCCCTGAGTAACAATCAGACTGCCTGGCACTCAGTGAAATGTTAGAAAGGGATGTGTGTGGTACAGCTGTCCCTCGAGAAAGACCTGTGGAAAAACTTAGCTGCTATTATTGCCATTTCTGACTACCGGACATCAGAAAAGTTCCAACTGCATTTCCTCACAATCTCGAATGTTTCTCTTGGATATTTTTTTAAACATCAATGTACTTAAAGCATTATTTCTGGCCTTAAAGACATCCAATTCATAATTAACCTTCTTTTGTTTATAAACACTGAATATATAGGCTGTTTGGATTTTTACAAAATTGGCACAAAGATACAAATCAATCAGTTGAAAATCGCAATAAGGGCCAGATATTACATGTTTGATTGTACATTTAATGAACAAATTTACTAAGTCTTGTGTACATTTTTGCCCTTGGGGGAAAAAATTTTCTTTTTACTGTATCTTCTGCCAATGTCAGACACAATTTCCAAAAGAAATATTGTATTCCTCTTTAACGGTCAAGAACATCCCTCTCAGGATTTCCCTTTCCCACCACAAAGAATCACTGTCAAACATAGTTACCAGTCACTGTTATTGTTACTGATGTAGCCCTGCTAAAAGCATCTCCCACAAATAGTGTACAAAATAGGGCCCCGAGAGAATGAATGAATTAAGGATTTAAAAAAAAAAGTTAATCGTCAGCCTCAAAAGGGACAAAAGACGGTTTTGCACCCAAAATTTGGGTCATGAATAATTGCTATTTTAATTTTTGTAATTTATCATATATAGAAATAAACACTAACAAATGAAATAAACACAACAAAATAAATGTGTACAAATCCAGAATGGTAACAGACAGGTTTGCAGGTTAGCCTATACTAAGCAGCAACAAGTGTCAAGACATTAAAGACGTATCATGTGTTAGAACTAGTTGCTTATTTTGTTGCTAATTGTATGTTAGATAACAGTCCATGGAACATATTTGTTTCTCATGGGAAATTAGATTTGTGTCTTCTATAAAGGAAAAACGCATGCCTTAATAAAGAAGTGTGTAAGATGCTTTCAGAATCAATTGCTGACTACAAGTGACTAATACCAATTTACCATGGTTACCATTCTTGGCAGGATGTATGAATCGTTCATTCCTTAAAACCTGCTGCATATGTTTTATAAATACATATTACAGCGCAGACTTACACGAACCCTTCTCCAAAACAAAATAGATAGATAGATAGATAGATAGATAGATAGATAGATAGATAGAACGACAGACTGATGACAGATAGACAGATAGATAGAAATAGATAGATAGATAGACAAAAACACACAGGAAAAGTGTACAGACACACCATGGTAACGTAAAATCATGGGAAGCACATTCCCGCAGGGCAGATGCATAACACTAAACACACAATGAGTCAGAAATAAGGTGTGTCCTTCCCTGAGTAACAATCAGACTGCCTGGCACTCAGTGAAATGTTAGAAAGGGATGTGTGTGGTACAGCTGTCCCTCGAGAAAGACCTGTGGAAAAACTTAGCTGCTATTATTGCCATTTCTGACTACCGGACATCAGAAAAGTTCCAACTGCATTTCCTCACAATCTCGAATGTTTCTCTTGGATATTTTTTTAAACATCAATGTACTTAAAGCATTATTTCTGGCCTTAAAGACATCCAATTCATAATTAACCTTCTTTTGTTTATAAACACTGAATATATAGGCTGTTTGGATTTTTACAAAATTGGCACAAAGATACAAATCAATCAGTTGAAAATCGCAATAAGGGCCAGATATTACATGTTTGATTGTACATTTAATGAACAAATTTACTAAGTCTTGTGTACATTTTTGCCCTTGGGGGAAAAAATTTTCTTTTTACTGTATCTTCTGCCAATGTCAGACACAATTTCCAAAAGAAATATTGTATTCCTCTTTAACGGTCAAGAACATCCCTCTCAGGATTTCCCTTTCCCACCACAAAGAATCACTGTCAAACATAGTTACCAGTCACTGTTATTGTTACTGATGTAGCCCTGCTAAAAGCATCTCCCACAAATAGTGTACAAAATAGGGCCCCGAGAGAATGAATGAATTAAGGATTTAAAAAAAAAAGTTAATCGTCAGCCTCAAAAAGGACAAAAGACGGTTTTGCACCCAAAATTTGGGTCATGAATAATTGCTATTTTAATTTTTGTAATTTATCATATATAGAAATAAACACTAACAAATGAAATAAACACAACAAAATAAATGTGTACAAATCCAGAATGGTAACAGACAGGTTTGCAGGTTAGCCTATACTAAGCAGCAACAAGTGTCAAGACATTAAAGACGTATCATGTGTTAGAACTAGTTGCTTATTTTGTTGCTAATTGTATGTTAGATAACAGTCCATGGAACATATTTGTTTCTCATGGGAAATTAGGGACAAAAGACGGTTTTGCACCCAAAATTTGGGTCATGAATAATTGCTATTTTAATTTTTGTAATTTATCATAGATATATAGAAATAAACACTAACAAATGAAATAAACACAACAAAATAAATGTGTACAAATCCAGAATGGTAACAGACAGGTTTGCAGGTTAGCCTATACTAAGCAGCAACAAGTGTCAAGACATTAAAGACGTATCATGTGTTAGAACTAGTTGCTTATTTTGTTGCTAATTGTATGTTAGATAACAGTCCATGGAACATATTTGTTTCTCATGGGAAATTAGATTTGTGTCTTCTATAAAGGAAAAACGCATGCCTTAATAAAGAAGTGTGTAAGATGCTTTCAGAATCAATTGCTGACTACAAGTGACTAATACCAATTTACCATGGTTACCATTCTTGGCAGGATGTATGAATCGTTCATTCCTTAAAACCTGCTGCATATGTTTTATAAATACATATTACAGCGCAGACTTACACGAACCCTTCTCCAAAACAAAAATTGTTTCCCCCCTCAGCGGTCAAAAACATTTCTCTCAGGGTTTCTCCTGGCAAATCCGACCACACATAAAGCGTATAAAGTCTGCAAACAGTTTAAAAGTGTTTTTAAAACACTTACGATATTAAAAACGAGTTTGATTTGCTCAAACAAAGTGATTTAACTCACCTCTTCAGTGAGGAACTCCGCTGTCGCCTACAAAACCGTCAGGCTGTGTCAAAAATCTGCGAGCCCCTAGAAAACATCTGTGGGCATCTTAGGCGCGTTCCGAATCGGCTCCAATGTTATGTATCATACGTACAAACATTCATGCATTTTTAAATTCACATTTTCCAAGCACTGGCAAACGCCCTGGACTGCATTACGCACATTTTTGGCAACCGCTCTTTTGTGAGGCGAACGGTTCCATCATTTACATGACAAAAGGTTCACTCAGAATTTATTACTTTCTTTTGTTATTTGTAATCAAGTCGAACAAATGAAAAGGGGAGCCTGTGTCTTTGAAAGCAGACCAAAAACTAGCAAATAAACTCCGGCAACTAAACCTACCAAAAAAATTATATTATACCGCAAACTTGGAAAAGTGCAGTACGTCCATAAGCGACATTGCTATATGTTATTTGAACTTTATTTTAATCAAATAATCCTGAATAAAACACAGAAATATTACAATATAACATTGTATACACACACACAGTACTGTGCAAAAGTCCAAGAACTGTGGCAATGTCTCCAAGACACCTGAAGAAACCTTCCTGCAAAGGTACAGTACTGTGAAAAGTTGTAGGCATAAAAATGCTGTAAAGTGAGGATGCTTTTAAAAAATAAAGCCATAAGTAGATTTGATTTATCAACTAACTTCTATATTAATTAAATCTAATCAACATTTGGTGTGACCACACCTTTTGTTTAAAACAGCTTTTGTCCTACACTCTTAAAAATAAAGGTGCTTGACGATGCCATAGAAGAACCTTTTTGTTTAAATGGTTCCATAAAGAACCTTTAACATCTGAAGAACCTTCCTGTTTCACAAAAGGTTCTTTGTGGTGAAAGAAGGTTCTTCAGATTATAAAAAGCTAAGAAAGAGATGGTTCTTTAAAGAACCTTTGCCTGAATGGTTCTTTGTGGAACCAAAAATGGTTCTTCTATGGCATCGCTTGAAGAACCTTTTGAAGCACCTTTATTTTTAAGAGTGTAGGTACACTTGCATACCTTTTTTTCAGGTAGCTTTGTAGGAAGGTTTATTTAAATGTCTTGGAGATGTTGCCACAGTTCTATCTTAAGTCTGTCTCAGTTTCTGATTCTCCATGTAAATCCAGACAGACTGGATGATGGTGTGATCAGATCTTTGTGTGGAGCACTGGCTGTTGTCAGACTCCTTGCGCATATAAAAATCTCACTGGATCATTACAATTCTATCCGGACAACTCTCTGAAGATTTTAGCCTGGTAATGGATATGACGATGTTAATGTATTTGGTCTTGGCAGAATATATCTGCTATGCTACTGCTGTTGGTTATTGCTGTAGTTGTAGATTATTGCTGCCAGCAGTAACTTGCTTGTCAGTAGATATTTCCTACTGACACCACAAAAAAGATAGAAATAACTGGCTTAAAACAGTTTTTTTGGTGAAAATACTACACACACACACACACACACATATATATATATATGAATTTTCAGCAGTCATTACTCTTCAGTGTCTCATGATCCTTCAGAAATCATTCTAATATGCCGTTTTGCTTCTCAAGAAACACTGTTATCAGTGTTGTATTGTTGTAATAATTTATTGTAATAATAACAACAATAATCTAAATTATAAAAACGAACTTGCTTGTCAGTAGATATTTCCTACTGACACCACAAAAAAGATAGAAATAACTGGCTTAAAACAGTTTTTTTGGTGAAAATACTACACACACACACATATATATATATATATGAATTTTCAGCAGTCATTACTCTTCAGTGTCTCATGATCCTTCAGAAATCATTCTAATATGCCGTTTTGCTTCTCAAGAAACACTGTTATCAGTGTTGTATTGTTGTAATAATTTATTGTAATAATAACAACAATAATCTAAATTATAAAAACAAATAGACAAAAATTGTGAGTTCATAAGTTCTTCCCTGACAACTAACACAGGAAGGTGCATGTTTAAATACTTGGTAGCAACATTACAATTGTGTGCACTGCATGAGTAAACCTTCGTGGCCGGATTCACAGAAGATCAGTGGAGTCAGGGCCTGTACAGGGTGTGTCTTCAATCTGAGTCATCCTGACGCACAGTCAGCACATACTGCACTCGCACAATCTCTGCTGGCAAACTTAACTTCTGTGTGTCAGTGTTCTTACCTGGGGCCACGCAAATGTCAAATAATAAAGAAAGCTCCATTTGTTATAACCATGAAGTCTTGCATTGGATGAAAAATACCATCTTGGCAGGACAATAGAAAAGAGTGGGATAAGATGTGCCATCAGAACTTGCCCTCTTGGCAGGAAGAAATGACAAAAGAGCTGAAACAAATGCACTTAACTATATTATAGTATTTTATGTATTATAGTATCATACTATATTATATACTATATTACAGTAAATACTTGGGTTGTTGGGTAATCTGTGCCAAACCGGTTAAAAACCGATATATTTGTCAAAGACCAATGGGCAATGTTCTGCCCTGACAGAAAACGTTCTGAATGAAATTCAGGACGAAGACTCATGAACAATTATTAAAAAAAAAAAATCATGCTGTGGAGCATCCAGGTAGCAACACAGCATTAAGAACTTTTAAGAAACATTTGAGCAGGGTCATTTTTATAAATACAACTACTATTTTCTCTTGTGGACTATATGTAAACATCTTTTATGTGAAATATCTTATTCACGTCCTAAATAAAAAATAACATGCATTTTGTATGATCCCTTTTATTTTGGTAAAATAATTAACGTTTTGCAGATTATAATAATAATAATTATTATTATTATTATATTTAATAATTTAAACAATAACAATATAATAATAACAGTAAAAATAATAAAATGTTCTTCTTATTATTATTGAACGCTATTATCATAAGAGTAATTTATCTTGTTATATTTTTCTTATTTTAAATCAGCATTAAACCCTCAAGTCCTCATTATTTGCGTCAAACACACTTGTAGTGTACCTGTGGAAGAGGTAGTTGTGTTCGTGGCCAAAGCCGCTGCATTAGTAGTGGTACCTTTTTTGGTGGCCGTCACAAATTCAATCTACAAACACATTGGTAAAAAAAAAAAGAACACACATTAACAATCAGTGATGTTGTGGCCCAGACAGTACAAACAAATGTTGTAATATTATTTATTTTTAATAAGTGGGGTGCCTCAGGGTTCTAACCTTGGTCTTTTCCTTTTTAGCTTTTTCCAGCTTGTCCATCTCCACTTTCTGAGCTTTGGCTGTGGAGAGGACAGCACACAAACAGTTAACAGATGTAGTCAATTCAATCCATATGAGTTTAAACGTCAAATATAATTTAGAGCTAAACTTACCTAGTGCCTCATAATATGAATCCTCTGACCAGCCATGGGGATCAAACATGTCCTGTGGAGAAGTAAACATTTTTTTTTCCTAACAGAAAAACATGTATTTATGTGGTATTAACAGGTAAGCATTACCACCTACTTTTGGATAATTGGTTCCAAGTTCGTCAATACCACAGAACTGGATAAGCTTCTCATAAATACTATAAACACAAACACAAGGTTAGGTTGCAAACAAATAAACAAAAGTTAATTTACTTCAGGTTATGTCTGGTACATTGTGGGTCATAAACACTTCTTATCTCCAGACCTTGGATTGCGAAACTCTTTCTTCTTTTGAATATGGCTGTTTGTATCAAAGTCTCCGTGAAGCTTCCGCTCATAAAGTTTAAAGATCTTTTCCTACAAACAGAAAAGGGAATCATTATTTTTCCCTATCATTACTGATATTAAATGCATGTATGATATTGCTAAATGAACAAACTCAATTTTAAGCCCACTTGGTTCCATTTTAAATGCAAAATGTGCAGTACAAAACAAGACAAAAACTGCCTCTTTGCTCCCAAGTGTTGTGAGACACTAAGAATGAATAAAGTCTTTGTGCGAGTGTGAGTTTCTAGAGCTAGAGGGTGATTTTTGACAACCAGACTCCAAGAAGCACTTGGAGATGTGCCATTTTCAGCTCCTCAATCGGTTTTCCTTCACATTCCAAGAAGTCAAATAAATTGAAAAGTCCTTTGTTGACGGTTAAGACACTGATCTTAGTTCATTTGTACAAAATGTGCTACAAGAAAGTTAGCAGCAAGACCAACTCAGATGTACAAGGGAATGAGGATCATGTCTTAGCAGTGATTAAAGCATAGCCACAGGGACAGGATATTCATCATAACATGGAAAAAGAACACAGCCCATCTATCAGTACTATGCTGCACTGTACTGGAGTGTGAAAACCACACCCGTGTTCACCTGTCCTGACAGCTCACGAGAGAGACAGCTACAACAGGAAGTGGTAGGATTATTAGGAATTTGATAAAAGACATGAATAAATATTACTGCAATTAAACAAACCAAATAATTCTAACAAAATACGTCCAAATATGACCTTGGCATCAACACGGTTTGACATCACTAACCTTAAAAGTTTGCACCTCTGGACATGTACTGACAAAATGCAAGTTGCATGATTTAGGGCGAACTGCCAGTCCTTATCTCCGGGTGGGGCAAAACACCTGAAAGCCTGACACCTACAACCTTCCACCCCCTCAAGCCCCCCAGTGCCACACCCTGAGATAAAACATGCCAGCCAGGATCAGAACATGTGCTTTAAACAGCTTGCCAAGAACTGAAACAATGAACCCATAAGAACTTGCCTTTTATGACTGTTGACAAGGAGCAGCAGTCCAACCAAAACAAAGCAGCTGAGAGAATGTTTTTCGGCTGGCTTATGGAAAAAATAAAACAGCAGGAAACTGATACTGTTGATAAAAATGTGTTTGCATTAAACTGTGCCCATTTTTTAAAGAATAAAAATTAAAATATCAAATTCTACTGAAAATTCAGATAAGGATATTCACCAACAATTAAACCATTGTTTTCCATTCGCGTTTCTATTTGCGTTTATTACCGTTTTCTTTTGTCTCTCGCTCCTTTTCTTTTCTTTCTCGCTCCATTTTTCACAAGTTCATCAAACAACAGTGGTAAGTCAGAATCATTCATCAATCACGGTGAGTAAGGTCTTCTCCTGCAATTGTTGTTTGCACCGCTTGCCACATGTACAGTTTATCTCTCTCTGTCGGCGACAAGGGATTCACATGTGATAAATGCAGGGAAATAATTAGGCTGACAGAAGATTTCAGAACTAGAGAGACGCATCCAAACTTTAATTTAGGACAGTAAGAATGTGAGGGCTGTAGATAAAGCTTTGGATGCAACTAGCTCAGGGAGTCCTGTACATTGTTCGGTTCCGATTACAGAGCCTCCGCAGCAGGGCGACTGCGTGACTGTGAGCCGGCATAGTCGCGGGTTAAAACACCGCTCTTCCATTCCGATCAAAACATCAAACAGGATCTCCCCACTCAGTGACGCACCCACTGAAAAACCTGATGAAAATGCTCTAGTTATTGGCGATTCTATTGTACGGAATGTGAAAATAGGACACCAGCCACCATAGTCCAGTGTCTACCGGGAGCCAGAGTGCCTGACATCTTGGCAAATTGCTGGCTAATGCCAAATGTAAATTCAGTAAGATTGTTATCCACGTCAGCGCTAATGATGTTCGACTTACATATTATTTTTAAACGAGTCTACCCACCAAAAGGTAAAGGGGGAGGTGTTGCTACAATTTATAACAATATTTTCAGTATTTCTCAGAGGGCAGGCTTCAAGTATAACTCATTTGAAGTAATGGTGTTTCATATAACATTATCCAGAGAAACATGCGTTAATGATAAATCCCCTAATGTTTGTACTGGCTACTGTATACAGGCCACCAGGGCATCATACAGACTTTATTAAAGAATTTGCTGATTTTCTATCTGAGTTAGTGCTGGCTGCAGATAAAGTTTTAATTGTTGGTGATTTTAATATCCATGTTGATAATGAAAAAGATGCAATGGGATCAGCATTCATAGACATTCTGAATTCTATTGGGGTTAGACAACACGTGTCGGGACCTACTCATTGTTGAAATCATACTCTAGATTTAATACTGTCACATGGAATTGATGTTAATGGTGTTGAAATACTGCAGCAAAGCGATGATATCTCAGATCATTATCTAGTTTTGTGCAAACTCCATATAGCTAAAACTGTAAATTCTACTCCTTGTTACAAGTATGGTAGAACCATCACTTTTACCACAAAAGACTGCTTTGTAAGTAATCTTCCTGATCTATTTCAATTCCTCAGCATATCCAATAGCTCAGAACAACTTGATGATGAAACAGAAACGATGGACTCTCTCTTTTCTACCATTTTAGATACAGTTGCTCCTTTTTTGCTTAAGGAAGATTAAGGAAAACAGTCTGACACCGTGGTATAATGAGCACACTCGCACCCTAAAGAGAGCAGCCCGGAAAATGGAGCGCGGCTGGAGGAAAACAAAACTAGAGGTATTTCGTACTGCATGGCGGGAAAGTACCCTATGAGTGGAACAATTCCGCTCATTCTTTACTATAGGAGAGGAAGAATTGTATAAACTTGTTAAATCATCTAAACCAACAACATGTATGTTAGACCCTATTCCATCTAAGCTCCTAAAAGAAGTGCTTCCAGAAGTCATAGATCCCTTTTCTGACTATTATTAATTCATCATTGCCGTTAGGATATGTCCCCAAAACCTTCAAACTGGCTGTTACTAAGCCTCTCATTAAAAAAAAAACACAACTTGACTCCAAAGAACTAGTTAATTACAGACCAATCTCGAATCTCCCTTTTCTGTCAAAGGTACTAGAAAAGGTAGTATCCTCACAATTACATTCCTTCTTAGAGAAAAGTGGTATCTGTGAGGATTTCCAGTCAGGATTTAGACCGTATCATAGTACTGAGACTGCTCTCAGTTATACTGATGATACTCCGCTCTATATTTCTTCGCAGCCGGGTGAAACATACCAATTTGAAAAACTAATGTACTGTCTTACTGCTAAATTCTGAAAAAAACAGAGGTGTTAATTATCGGACCAAAAACCTCTGCATGTAGCACCAGAACCAGGAAGTATGACCATTTTAGCCCGGTTCTGTCAACACTGCACTGGCTCCCTATTAAACATTGTATAGATTTTAAAATCTTGCTAATTACTTATAAAGCCCTGAATGGTTTAGCACCTCACCTTTGAGCAAGCTCTTATTGCATTATAGTCCTCCACGTCCGCTGCGTTCTCAAAACTCTGGCAATTTGATAATACCTAGAATATCAAAATCAACTGCGGGTGGCAGATCCTTTCCCTATTTAGCGCCCAAATTCTGGAATAATCTACCGAACATTGTTCGGGAGGCAGACACACTCTGTCAGTTTAAATCTAGATTACAGATCCATCTCTTTAACCTGGCTTACACATAACACACTAACACATTTCTAATATTCAAATTCGTTAAAGGATTGTTAGGCTGCATTAATTAGGTCAACCGGAACCAGGAACACTTCCCCTAACACCTGATGTACTTGTTACATCGATATAAGAATGGCATCTACGCTAATATTAGTCTGCTTCTTTCTTATTCCGAGGTCACCAAAGCCACCAGATCCAGTCTGTATCCAGATCAGATGGTCACTGAAGTCACCCGGATCCAGTACGTATCCAGCCCAGATGGTGGATCAGGACCTAGAGATGACCTCGACAGCCCTGAATGTCAGTGGAGACCAGAACAACTAGATGAGCCCCAGAGGCAGATCCCCAGTGAAAACCTTGTCTCCTAGACGGCCATCGGGACAAGACCACAGGAACCAGATGAGTCCTCTGCACAATCTGACTTTGCTGGAACAACCTGCGGGTTTGTCTGGCCCCCCAACTGAGCCTGGTTTCTCCCAAGGTTTTTTTCTCCACACTGATGGAGTTTTGGTTCCTTGTCACTGTCGCCTCTGGCTTGCTTAGTTGGGGACACTTATTTTCCAGCAATATCGTTGACTTGATTGCACAGATACTATTTAATCTGAACTGAGCTGGATGATGACATCACTGAATTCAATGATGAACTGCCTTTAACTGAAAATTGAGTGTTTACTATTGTCCTTTCGCCTTATTTATACACTATTTTCCTATTTAATACTGTAAAACTGCTTTGACACAATCTGTATTGTTAAAAGCGCTATATAAATAAAGGTGACTTGACCTGACCAAGAATGAACAGCACTAATCGCATTCTTCATTTGCATGCACAATCGGTGTTGTTTTAGCATCTGATTCACAAAAGTATTTATGCAAATTAAAGTAACAGTGCTTAGACTGATGATGACTTCATTTAAAAACTCATATTTAAATGCAATATACTATCACCAAAACTAACAATGGGCAATATTTTCTGCAGTATTTATAAATTTTTGTTAATAAAAATAAAACGCTTCATTGTTGTTCATGTCAGTTCACAATGCATTAACTTATGTTAATGGACAATCTGTTATTTTAAATAAGTATTTATATGTTGAAATTAACATAACCTTAAATTAATAAATAGTTTATTGTTAGCTCATACTGTTATCCAACAAATGTGAACTTATTTTAAATTGTGAGAAATAGACCAACCACTGTTTTTTTTTTTTTAACGTGATGTTTATGGGCAAATCTGAAATTTCATGGCAGTCTATTATCAAAGTCAATAAACACTAATTTAAATAATAATGCAATAGTTTCAACAAAAGGATGCACAACTAAAAACAATCAAATTCTTTCAGTCCAAAAACCATTTATTTTTTTCATAAATGTAAGTGTGCTTAAAAGACATCTATTACCAAATGCCTAAAAAAAACATTATCTTTAAAGGTTTGAAAATTACCTCACAAACGTGCACCTTCACTGCAGCAGTCTTTAACACAGCTTTGTGGGTACTTATGTGACTCCTGGACATTGCACAGCAGCCAACTAATCAAATTAGAATTGATTTTGGCCCACTTTTGTCATTTGTTTGTGCAATATGCATAATTCAGGCCTGTGAATGGTCAGCAGACAAGCTATTTGATAGCTGAGACTAGCATCTATCAGAAAACAAGCACAGTGAAAAAGTGCCCACAAGATTTCTCTCATTGGAGACCATGGCAGCAAGTCAGGAACATCTCAAACAGAATACAGCAACCATCTCACCTGCAGATGACTGGAACAACGCCCGGGAGGTTCAGGAGGAATTCTGATCTCATCTGGAGACATATTTCGAACCTTCTCTGAAAACTGTGCTGTGAAGAAGGAAAAAAATACTTAAAAGACAGCAAATATAGGCAATTTATTTAAAACATAAAATGCTGCAGTGGAGTAATGACAGCAAGTCATACAGTATGCTCATAAAACTAGATTTTATATTTTCTCAAGAAAACCTAGTAGTGCTCGCCCATGCAAACTTGCTATAGTATTTTTCTCATGTTGTTAAAATGCAAGCTTATTAATGTTGCTTAATTTTTGTTTTATATATATATATATATATATATATATATATAAGAATAAAATAAGCTTATTTGTTGTTTTTTTTCTTAAAAATATATAAAACATTACCTATATTTAATTTTTTTAACATAATATATACTGCAAGCTTAGTGTTACATATTGTTTCTTTGATAATTAAAAAAATATTTTTACCAATTTTTTGTTGTTTTTTTTATAATATAAAAATATAATGCAAGCTTATTTATATAAGCCAAGTTGTGCAGTTACATCAGTTTTCTCGGATATATACTTTTACATATTTCATATAGGCAGAAATAAGCAAATATCACTTAAAAAAATAAGAAAAGAAAAAAAAGAGGACATTTTTATAAATAAATAAACAAAGAAATCAACTGGGGAAAAAAAAAATACTCCCATCAGTGGTATGAAGTTTCCAAACACAAACATTCTGGATTCTGTTTGCAACTTTAACCTCAAGCTATATTTCATTTAAAAAATTTTTTAAATGACATTGAACTACTTCTTCAATTTCGTAAGCATTTGCAATAATAATTTTTTTTTATTCCCTCACGAGGTGCATAACAACATACATTTCAGACAACAACAAAAAAAGTACATTTACATTTATTATTTTAGCAGACACAAAGCAGCGTACAAATGAGGAATATAAGTGATTTATCATAAAGAGGCAAATAAACACAAGACGTGCTTGTAATACAAAGTTTAGAGTATTTAAATATTTGACAATAATAAGATTGTGTATTTAGACTTTAATGAGGTAAAGAAATACAATCCCATGCATTACAATCAAAATAAAAAAAGAGAAATATTAAACTACTGATTTAAAGATGTTATTTATATAGAAACAAACAAAAATATATATATTTATTGCAAAATACACACAAATATTTTCGTCGTTTGAGAACATAAAACTGCATTTGAGTGGGCATTTAAGAGCTCTTTTGGCTCAATTTGCTTGTTTTGATTTTCTGATTGGTGGATATTTTTTGCAGAATCATTGGTAATGTAGTTTTCACCAGGAATTCCACTGTTAAACAATTAGTTAAAAATAAGTTGAAATAAAGGGGATTGATGACATCAATAAACGCATACACCATCGATTAATAACCTCATAGCTCACAGGTCTGTCTTTAACGGTTTAAATTATCTTTAAAAATAAAATTTCCCTATGGATAAAATAAATGGGATTTTTACTTCCAAAAGTTGCCCACTACAGTGACCAGAACAGAGACATGTGGGCTCTTTTGACAGCAAGTGGCCACCTAGAAACCACCCAGAACACCCTAGCAACAAAACCAGAACAACAAAGACAAACACAGCTCAAATGTTCTTTGAAAATATAAAAAAAACTTCAGTATAAAACTGTCCTTTTACGAGACTTAGGAGAGTGTGATTATATTTGTGGCTGTCAAGGATTCAGCTTCATGTAGTTGGTCTGAAAGCTGTGTTTTATAAAGCATTCAAGCATATCCTAATAATTATAGTGTGATTAGAGTAAATGTGGTAGCAGCAGGCAGCAAGTGTGCACAGGAATGCTGGCAAGATGAGGGTCTTCTAAAAAAAACTCTAAAAAACCCTGCTGCTCTCAGATTTCTCATCCCTGAGCTGATTTGCACTGTGATCTTAGCTGATCTTAGAACAGTAGAACTCTCTCCATCGGTCGGGTTTTGTCATTTCCTCTCCATCAGAGTAATCATGCGTTGACTGTAAGTGACTCATTTCTCTGGCATCTTCAGAGTTCAGTGTCCACCCAAACAAGTGGCACAATCACACACAAAGCCCATACACCCAACTCCCATCTCAGAAAGACTCCAAAAATACGAGGAGGGAAAATTAGAGCAGAAACTAAAGATCTTCTGTCTTGCAACCACAAAGAAAATCTTTGAGTCTCCGACAAGACCTTCCTGTCTTACGGTCTATTCTGATATTTGCACATTTTAACGAGAAGAAAAACAAGACAAAGTGGAACGTTCAGTTACTCGCCCAAGTGTCTTGTTTACTGTAACTCCCTACAACTGTAAAAAAAAAAATATTCAGTCTCTGACTGCATCAGAAAGATATGTGGCGTTATAAATACCGTTTTTACACAAACACAAAGGGAAGGTTAAGGGCTCCACATCACAAACTTCTAGTGCAGCCTCCATGTGTTATGTCTGTTAATAATGCTGCACATTAAAAAGTTTTTTCCCCCCACTCTTTCTCTATATCAGGCTGAAGTAATAATACCAAAAAGATATTAATGTTGACGTATAGTTTATTAAAACAATTTCCTGTTTCAGCTTCATTTACAGAGACAAAGTAATTCTTATGCAAGATTGGTGTGAGGCTACCTGTTTGTCTCAACAAATGGCAGATGCGTTTTTTTTTAGCATTTTCATTCAGAGCTGCTAGTGGCACAGATACTTGCACATGACAGCTTTCAGTACAATACAATAACTTTTTAAAAATTTGAGTATTAAAAAAAATATAAAAATCTTTGACTACTATGAATTGGAAAGAAGGAGACTAATCACGAAGGCCTAACTATAAAGTTTTAATAACTATTCTAAAGCTAAGAGAACAGTGAAGCCCATGCCACAATTATAACGATAATAAGAGGAACAATATCAGGATTCCATCTGATTTTAAAGTGCTTGAGCATTTAAAGCAGCAGATTACAGAACTGCAAGTTGAGCTTATTATAAACGGGACATTATGAAGCATTTTTGCATCCTTGAAATGCTGCTATTTTTTTTATTGTCAGGACTTGATTTACCTGCAAAATACTCAGGAGATTACATGATTACTAATATAATAACAGTCCTAAATCAGAAATCATTGTTACCAGAATCAACCAGGATCATCACATACTTATTAGGTTTAATAGAAAAGTGATGATCCTGAGGTCTCACTATAATCAAACTAATTACACAGGATTTCCATAAAACAGGACTGAAGCAATCCAACCTGGATCACTCATTTCCTGGGCACAGTCAATGCACACACACTTCAGCCACTTTCTGACAAAGTGATTACACCATGTTGCCTGGAGCACATATACACATCTGTGCTCTCTACCATATCCAAGCTAAATTTCGAAAAAAATAATTTTATTTGAAGATGACAGTACAATTTTTTTAATTTTATACTTACCAACAAGCTCATTGGGGTCTTTAACCTCCACTTCTGTGACATCCTATGAAAAGAAGAAAAGGACAAACATGCATAATTGAAAATCAATAACACATTTTCCTTCCGATGTCGTTTCAAGTCAGCATGTATGTGTACATAAGATGAATTACGACAGACCAAGTAAAATATTGTTAGGACGAATTAATATTTGGCCATTTTGATATTTAATGTTTGATTTAAAAACAATATTTGTACCAAATATCAGAACTACTAGATCATAATCTTTAATTCAACAAATCAGTGTTGCTAAATTATGGAACATTTTTTACTTTTATATGGCACTAATCCTATTAGCTGTCAAGAATAATGTGAATTAAAAACGTTTGGGAAACATTAAAAAAGATGGAAATTTGTATATACTTTCCAATTTAAATTCTTTATATTTAAAGGGGTCATTTTTCCTTTCTCTTTGGAGTGTTACAAGCTCTTGGTGCATAAAGAAGATCTGTAAAGTTGCAAAGACTAAAGTCTCAAATCCAAAGAGATATTCTTTATAAAAGTTAAGAGTTAACGCCTCTGCTCACTCAGCCTGCCGCCTCTTCTCGAAAAGGCCATGGTTGACGCTGTTTTGTGTTGTGAAAGCAAAACTACTTTTTGTAGTTCTGCTGTTCTGACTCAAAGACTGTAAGTAAGTTTTTTTTATATTTAAAGAGTTTTTATATTTTATATATTTAAAGCGAGTTGTTTGGGCAGTGTAGAGTAGGGATTGATGTTTGTCATTTCTCCGATCACAAATGCAGACATGGTTTTATGTTTACGCGGCGCGATGCAACGCAACGCGTAAAAAGACAGTATAAGTCATTATAATCCATAATTATGTCCCCACTGGATGCAACAAATGCCTCGTTTATAATGAGTTTTCATGTTTTTGTCTCGTCGCTCCGGCCGGACAGGGCATCACAGTATGGTAGGGGTGTAACATTTCCGTCACACGCTTGAGGTATTCAGCCTTTTTTTTTTTTTATGGTTAAATTACATTTTATTAATCAAAAAGCATGTCTAATTAATTTAAATCATGAAACAAACAATTTAACATCAATTTATTAAAAGTTTAACAAATATTACGTTTAGGGCCCTATGAAATGTTTTATTTGTCCAACCTTATGTTTTATTGTAACCAAATTCTGTTTTAGCATGTCTAATTTGAAAGCATAAAACAAGCTTAATTTATTCTTACAATAGCCTTATGACTTTTTTTGCTCAGAAATTCTGTGTTGTGTATTTACATTTTGTTTTAAGGCATAAAACATTCATTTAATCTATCTTTTAAGTAATGAAAATTAAACGAATGTAATTGTTTGGAAACTAAAGGTCATTTAATATTACAATTAAAACATTGAAGAAATATTGAATGCTTATTCCTTAAAAATAAGGTTTTAATAATTTTAGTAGTAGTAGTAGCGGTCTGTTACATACATTCTACTCAACAATAGTAATATATTTCTGCCAATGCCCTCAAGTTAAACCAAACATTTATTTTGACGGGTTGTCGTGAATACCATTACATTTCTGTGTGTGTATGGCATGATGATAGTTTTACTGAAATTAAACGGTCAAATGCTGATGAAGTGACTCTCAGAGCAGTTCTGGAGATGTTGTTCATGTATTTATGTCCTCATTAGTGAGACCAGACGCTAATATCACCGGAACCGTCACAAGCGTTTCAGTACGAGTACTACACAAAACCGCGCGTCTGCGCCATTCATTAACACAGAGACACGCAGAATTCATATTTAAATATGAAT